TTCCCAGTAGTTTTGTCACGTACTCTAGCAATCGACGTCTCGGGACACTGGACTCTTCCCGCGACTTTGGAAAACCATTCATATTAGTTTGTTGCGGCTTTTTTGGATCATAAGAAGGCTGCTTGCTCCTGCTGCTCTGATTTTGAATAACAAGTCTATGAAAATCCGGCGGACTCATGTACGAAGTGCTAGCCGATGAGGATGAGTTTTTGCTAAGTTGTGTCCTCCAAGTCCTTGACCTGTCTTCAGAAACTTCCTTCGGTGTACTCTGAGCCTTTTTTGGTCTACTGACGCTCTCGCGAGAATCTTTTTGTTGAGGTATTGGTGAGGTCTGGACATCTTGAGTCGTAACTTTCTTGGGCTTGTCTTTAAGCTTTTTGGCAAAATCTAGGATCGATCTCAATTCTTCATCTGCAATGAAATGAATAAGAATAAAGAGGTATTTGAGTAAGGATTGACCAATCTAGAGGTATTTTTAAAAATAACAAAACTAACAACTTTAATAGTAAGGAGAAGAATAAAGAGGTATTAACACGTTCACTGCGTTACGGGGCTAATATGACTCCAGTGGTGAAAATGAGTTCGAAGTCTCCCAAGATGTGCTCCCGTTAAGCCAAAATAATGCCTCACAAAATGCTCTTGGCCCATTTGATATAACTTGGGTCGATATAACAGTGCCCTCTAGCCAATTGTTTCCTACTTTGTGTGATAATAAAATCGGTTTTAATGTACCCCGTCACCTTTCTTCCCCTATGGATTTTTTGAAGTTGTTTGTTAATGACGAGTTGATCGAGGTAATGGTTCAAGAGACCGATAGATATGCTGAAAATTTGATGTCTCAAGAAAACAAACCCAAATCAAGACTAAATTTATGGAAATCAGTGGATCATGATGAATTGCAAAACTTTTTTGCCATAGTAATAGCCACGGGAATTGTGAACGCTCCAATAATGAATTTGTATTGGTCTAAAGATTCCTTATATCATAATAAATTTATATCATTTTGTATGACAAGGGACCGATTTGTTCAAAAAAAAGTAGTTATAGATGAGTCTATGATACCATGGACGGGTCGCCTAAGAATGAAACAATATATAAAAAATAAATCCCACAAATATGGTATCAAACTTTACAAACTTGCAATATTGATGGTTATGTGATTAATTTTAAAATTTATTCTGGTATTAGTGACTACTATGAATACGGTCGCATTTTATATTGCGATACTGATCAACAGCCAAAAAATATCCTAAATAAAATCAACAAAATATTACTATCTTTAATGTGCTAAAACCGGAATGAAACTTATTTTTCAATATTAGTTCAAGTTTTAGAGATACGGTAATTATATGTGTTCCTGCTGTGACAGTGTTAATATACTGTAATTCACAAGAATGCACGTGCTACATTTTTATATTCGGCAAGGAAAGATGATGTAATCGGCATGATTGTGTTACGTTATACATACGTGTACATTATATTGTTTTATATTAGCCATTTTTTCCTCAGTTGGCTGACAGAGTTCATGCAAGATGTCTCGAAAGTGTGTAAACAATCCAGATCAGTTTTGTTACGTGTGTGGTGATGTGACTTTTGCGTCTCAGAGACGGTCTATTACTCCACTAATAACAAAGGCATATCAGCTTTATTTCGGTTGTAAACTAGGTGATCAAGACAAACAGTGGGCACCCCACATCTGCTGTAATACATGTGCTTCAAGTCTGAGGAGCTGGTTAAATGGCAAAAAACGGTCTATGCGCTTTGCTGTCCCAATGGTTTGGAGAGAGCCTACAAATCATATTAATGATTGTTACTTTTGCATGGTACCTTGTGTTGGACAAGCCACAGGTATGTCCAAGAAAAAAAAATCGGTTATTAACTACCCAAACATACCATCTGCGATGAGACCTGTGCCTCACAGTGACGAAAATCCTATTCCAAAACCCCCAGAATCCTACACTTGCGAATCAGATCATGGCGATCGAGTGATCCGTCAGGAAGAAGATATGCCATCAACGTCAAGAGATCCTGATTTTATACCGAGCACGTCATGCCACCAACCGCACAAAATAACACAGTCAGAATTAAATGATCTTGTAAGAGATTTAGAACTTCCAAAATGTAAGACAGAGTTACTTGGATCAAGACTGCAGCAGTGGAACTTGTTAGAAGACGATGTTTCGGTATGTGTTTTTCGTAAACGCCACAAAGACTTGGAACCATTTTTCAATATGGAGAATAACTTGGTTTTCTGCAGTAACATTAACGGCTTACTGGCGGCTTTAAATATAAACTATAACCCAGAAGAATGGAGATTGTTTATAGACAGTTCAACATTGAGTTTAAAGGCAGTGTTATTGCATATTGAAAATATTTTACCATCTCTTCCTGTAGGGTATGCAGTTCACATGAAAGAATCATATGACAATATGAAGTACCTATTGACATGCATAAAATACGATGAGCACCAATGGCATATTTGTGGCGATTTGAAAGTTGTTGCACTTTTACTTGGGCTGCAGCTAGGCTACACAAAGTTTTGCTGTTTTTTGTGTGAATGGGACAGTCGGGCAAAGGCACTTCATTACACCAGACAAAACTGGCCTGTTCGTCAATTCCTAGAGCCAGGTCAAAAAAATGTACAGCATATGCCATTAGTAGATTCGAAAAAAATTTTATTACCACCACTGCATATAAGTTGGGCCTAATGAAAAACTTTGTCAGGGCATTAGATAGAGATAGGTCAGCTTTTCAATACCTGCGTCAGAAATTTCCAAGACTAAGTGAGGCAAAGGTTAAAGAAGGTATTTTTGTTGGGCCACAGATTCGAAATATTTTAAAAGATACACAGTTTGAAAACACTTTAACAGGTATTGAAAAAACTGCTTGGGATGATTTCCGTCTGGTGGTCACTAATTTCTTGGGAAATAGAAAAGCTGACAACTATAAAACCCTTGTCAAAAATATGCTGTCATCGTATCAAAAGATGGGCTGTAATGTGTCTCTTAAGATACATTTCCTACACTCACACCTGGACTTTTTTCCTGACAATTGCGGAGCCGTAAGTGATGAGCACGGCGAACGTTTTCATCAGGATATTTCAACAATAGAAAAAAGGTACCAGCGAAAGTGGAATCCTTCCATGCTTGCAGACTACTGTTGGACTCTTGGTAGAGATGCTCCAGAAACGATCCATAAAAGAACAGCAAAAAGACAGCGCATATAGTGATTCTTATAAGTATATGAATCTTGTTACTTTTTTTTAATATATCCTTAAAAATAAAAAGTTTTTTTCTAAACCGCAACTAATTTTTTTATTTCATTGTCATTTTTGGATTCAGCGCCCCAAAATTAACACAGAAGTGCACTTTTCCCACAAGATACAATTAAAAAACTAAAATTTGTTGTCCAGTGTAATTTTTATACTTCTTATGAATTGGCAAAATATTTGAAGACCAAAAAGACAAGAATTTGTGGTACCTTGAGAAAGAATCGCAAAACTGCTCCTAAAAATATTATTTCTCAAAAGCTTAAAAGAGATCAAATAGCTGGAAAAGAGTCAGAAGGCACACAAATTGTGAAGTGGGTAGATAAAAGACCGGTTCTGATGCTCTCAACCTGTGAAAATCACGATACATCACTAGTTAATACAGGAAAAATAAGAAAAGGATAGACTGTAAAAAAACCACAGTGTGTAATCGATAACAATAACGCAAAAAAGGTGTCGATTACAGTGACCAGATGGGATCTTACCAGAGCTCCCTCCGAAAGAGTTTAAAATGGTACAAAAAAATTGTAGTTTTTAATTCAGCAATCGTCAATGCTTGGGATATGTTTAATCATCAACATCTAACTAGCAAGCTCACAATTCTCCAATTTAGAGAAAAACTAGCGCAATATTTCTATCAGTGTGGCAGAGAAGAATTGCAACCAGAACGGCCAAGAACTCCTAAAAGATACCATACCATTACTCTAGGGGAAACCGAAAACAAAAGTAGGAGAAAATGTGTAGGATGCTACAAATTACTAAGAAGAACAATGAATAGTCGCGAAGCTGACAAAAAGGTGAAAAAAAGTCTACACTCACTGCGAGGGGTGTGCGGGGAAGCCGGCCTACTGCTTAGTTTGTTTTAATGAAGCCCATTAGTCGTTTTGTATTGCAAAATCAATACTTTACTTTTCTTTTATATAAACGACACCATATTTTAGCTTAGGATTTGACTGTTTCTATATTTTAGCTTAGGATTTGACTGTTTTAGTTTAATATTAAAGAAAGTGTTTTTAATATTATTGCAAACATACATATTTTACTTTTTTCTATCGTAAAAATTATTATTTAACGTTAGTTTTTCCTGGCTCTGTTTTAGATTAAAGGAACTTTTATAATTATTACTGTGTGGTTATTTCTCTAAAAAAGCTTTTATTTTACAAAAAAAAATAAAAACTTTATTGTTGACTACGAGGTACATTTCACCCGTAACGCATGTCGGGCCAACTCTGTACGAGTCAAGTTTGCCTACGCAGTGAACGTGTTAAAGTAAGAATTGAAGAATTCAGCAGTATTTTTAAAAAATAAAACTTTATTATTGAACCAAAAAATCATTCAACTTATTGTTTCTTGGAAATGTCGGCTGTTATTGCTGTCAGTGTAATCTGATCTTGAACTCTACTTTTCAATGCGCATTTCGAGTATTTCGAATAGTATTTGGCGACCGTTATTGTGCCATGATAACACACTACCTACTGCCTGAAATTCAATATCACGATCTTCTTCAACTGTGACAACAATTTTTCCTTTGAGGCTGTGTCTAAACTAATAATATACTGATCAGTATTACTCGCGTTATTCGCTAAATACTGCACGAATTACACGAAAAGAATTCCAAAATGGACCATGTTATCTCCAGTAATGGCCAACATTAAAAAAAATAGTTTAATGCTTCTTATATCTCATAATAAAGATAACCCGAGAGAGTTTTTATTTTTTACTAGCTTTCTGCCTCACGGTTTCACCCACGAAACGTGTACGTGATGCCACTAATAATGTAACCAAATTTCCCAAGCATGCAAGTTGGTTGTCAATTTACTAATGACATAATATACAAGGTGGGTCAATGAACTGGGAACTGTATTAATATTTTTACGATTTATGTGTGATTTTTTTGCTAGTATCTTTTTGGCAATACTGTTTTTGACAGATGACGTGTGAATCGTGTCTTGTGTCATTGACAAACTTGTTCAGTTTGGTCTATAATTTAACCATGAATCGACTTACGAACGAACAACGCTTGCAAATTATTGAATTTTCCTATCAAAATTCATGCTCGGTTAAGAGAGTGCATCGAGCACTGCTTCAAATTTATGGGCAATTTGGTCGGCCTACTGAGGGAGCTATTCGGAAGCTTGTGACTAAATTTCGAACCCAGTTTACATTATTGGACATTAAACCACCAACACGCAGACGTAGAGTGATGACTGAAGAAAATATTGCGGCTGTATCCACCAGTGTTAGTGATGTCCGTGAAATGTCGATTCGCCGCCGTTCGCAGCAATTGGGCCTCTGTTACTCCACTACGTGGAAAATTTTGCGACGGGATTTGGGTGTAAAACCTTATAAGATACAGCTGGTGCAAGAATTGAAGCCACACGACCTCCCACAACGTTTCCCATTTGGTGAATGGGCGCTGGCAAAGTTGGAGGAAGATCCACATTTTTATCGAAAAATTGTGTTCAGCGACGAAGCTCATTTCTGGTTGAATGGGTACGTTAACAAGCAAAATTGTCGCATCTGGAGTGAAGACCAGCCAGAAGCATTGCAAGAGCTACCAATGTATCCCGAAAAAATCACTGTTTGGTGTGGATTATGGGCCGGTGGCATCATCGGGCCGTACTTCTTCAAATACGACAATGGCCGGAACGTAACTGTGAATGGCGAGCGCTACCGTGCGATGATAACAAACTTTTTTTTGCCCAAAATGGAAGAGCTGGACTTGGCTGACATGTAGTTTGAACAAGACGGTGCCACATGCCACACCGCACACGAAATAATGGCCCTATTGAGAGGCGAGTTCGGTGAACAGTTTATCTCACGTTTGGGGCACGTCAATTGGCCGCTTAGATCGTGTCATTTAACGCCGTTGGACTATTTCTTGTGAGGCCATGTTAAGGCTAATGTCTAAAGGGATAAACCAGCAACGATTGGCGCACTGGAAGCCAATATTGAAGCATTTATTCGTGAGATACCGGCCGATATGTTGGAGAAAGTGTGCCATAATTGGACCTTGCGCATAGGCCATCTAAAGCGGAGCCGCGGCCAACATCTACATGAAATAATCTTTAAACATTAAATTATATCGACCGTTCTATCGACTCAAATAAAGATTTAATCGTTTTTTCAAATTTTTTGTATTTTTTTTAAATCAAATCCTATACCTCTTAAAAAATCACCCGTTATAATCGCTTATTATCACACCGTCTAGAATTTTATTATAAACTCAAATAGCTACACAACGATTGAATGTAGGTATAAACTACGAGGGCGGTCCAATAAGTACCCGTGTTTCACAACAGATGGCGTTCCTGAGGGAAGTTAATGTTATCATCGTGTGCTGCCATCTATCAAAACTACGGCACAACATATTTCAGTCTGATTGATAGGTTAGTTTGGATTTGGCAGCCATTCGGGTAAATCGTGTTTCGTGATTTTCGCTAAGATGGAAAAAGAGCAGTATCATTCGGTAATTCGCTTTTTAGTTAGTGAGTTATTGGACGGCTTAGACAAAAAATTGAAGGAGACACCGCCACATTTGACGAAAAACAAGGTGCTGTTTGACCACGATAACGCACCAGCACATTCATCCGGAGTTGTCGCCGCCAAACTGCATGAATTGCGTTATGAAGTGCTGCCGCATCTCCCGTATTCACCCGATCTGACCCCCTGCGACTTTTTCTTCTTCCCTGACACGAAGAAATGGCTCGCGGGGAAAAATTTAGCTCAAACGGAGAAGTCATCGCCGAGACAGAGGCGTATTTTGGAGAGTTTGACAAATCCTATTTTTTGGGCGGTTAAGAAAATGGCAGGAACGTTGGGAAAAGTGTATCTTTCTGAAGGGGGATTATGTTGAAAAATAAAAAGAATTTTTTTGGAAAAAACGGTGGTTTCATCTCTAACACGGGTACTTATTGAACCGCCCTCGTATGTTATACAAAAGTTACTAAAAATTAAAAAAAGATGGGGTTTCCATTTAAAAATCCAATATCTTATTTTTGGATCATCCTGTATTGTATGGATATAGATGAAAAGACGTCCCCCTAGAAATCAAAATTAACGTGGCCAAGCGTTTTTCCCAAAATATAGCGTACGAGATCGAAAGTTAATAACATTGGTTAAAAACTAGGATCTCTGTTAGGAACCGTTTCAATCGTGTGTAACAGCCAGTTCAAAAGGAAACGTCTGTATCGCCTGGCGGTTGCAGGTTAAGTGTTGCGATGGCTGGCCGCACTGTTGCTGGCTTGACGCTGTTGGTGGATATTTTTATATACTAAGTGACATATAAATCCGAACACCCAGTTTAAATGGTTTTATTTTAATAAAAGTTGGTGAATGTATTTATCTTACTGAAAATAACAAGTCAAAAAATTTTCAGAGTTATCAGTAGGACATTCCGGTTTTTATACTGCTTTTTTTTAATTCACTAACGCTCTAAAAATGAATATTTCAGCCGCAGTAAAGAATCAACGTTGGCGGATTTTGGTTCTTGAGATCCTTTACGATCGGTTACGATGCCTAGAGTACGGAGACCTGTACGATTTCGTCAACTTAGTGAGTTTGATAGGGGCCGTATAGTGGGACTGCGGGAAGCTGGACTTTCTTTTCGGGCAATTGCAGTTAGAGTGCCAAGAAGTGTAGACACTGTGGTTAGGTGTTGTCAGGCATGGCTTCGAGAAGGCCGTAAGCAAAGAGCAAGGGGCACTGGACGCCGCCGTAGAACAACAGACCGTGAAGATCGCCGCCTAAGATTATTAGCCTTAAGGGACCGTTTCTCCACTACCAGGTCCATTGCAAATGAATGGTTTGCAGAACACGGAAGACCTATTGGCATGCGAAGTGTTTACCGACGAATGAGAAGTTTTGGCTTGTTTTCATACCGGCCACACTGGGTCCTCCCTTTAACTCGAGAACACCGACGTAATCGCCTTGAGTGGTGCAGAGAACAGTCACTCTGGGATCAGGAATGGAACAGTATTGTCTTTAGTGACGAATCTCGATTTTGTTTAGGCATGCACGATGGTCGTGCCAGGGTTAGAAGGCGTCGTGGTGAAAGGAGGAATCCACAGTTTTTTGTTGAAAGACATGTTCATCACACTGTTGGAGTTATGGTTTGGGGTGCTATAGCTTATGGTTCCAGGTCTCCTTTAATCTTCTTCAGAGGTAACATGAACGCGCAGCGTTATATCCACGAAGTTCTAGAACCCCATCTTTTACCCTATCTTGACACCCTGGCAGATCCAACTTTCCAACAAGATAATGCCCGACCACATGTTGCAAGAGTCACAATAGACTTCTTTCAACATAATGATGTCACATTGTTACCATGGCCACCAAGATCTCCCGACTTATCCCCAATTGAGCACGTGTGGGATATGATGGGTAGGAGATTGCTCAATTTGCAACGTCCTCCTCAGACTCTAGAAGCACTTCGAGAGGAGTTGGTGGTTGCCTGGAATGAGATACCACAGGAGGACATTGACCACCTGATCAGAAGCATGCCTAGGCGCGTTGGAGAATGCGTAGCACATCAGGGTGCATCCACACATTATTAAAGGTCAAAGGGCTTTAAAGCAGTGCAATCATTTTGAAATTTTTATCATTTACTTATTATGCTTCATTAAGTACTTATACAAAATTTTATTAAAATAACACCATTTAAACTGGGTGTTCGGATTTATATGTCACTTAGTATTGTTGGCATCACAAAATCGACGACGAGTTCGCGGATAAAACCATGTCTATTTTAAAATATTGAAAATCAATTAGTAACAAAAATTCTACTTGAACGTGCGACTCACCTGATTCACTAGTAGGTTTTTTAGCCTTCTTAGGAGACCCCTTTGGCGACACGACAGTCTCAACATCCTTAGCCTTCACCACAACTTCATGCTTATCATTCTCATCCAGTTTTATCAAAATTTTACACAGTTCTTCCGACGTCTCATTTTCTTTGTTACATTTGCAGGGCACATGCGATTTACAACATTTACATGGCCCTTTGTCTGATACCTCATCAGATTCGGATCTCTTAGCCTTTAGAGAATCTTTTGAATCTTTTTCATCGACTGTAGATTCTTTTTTCCTTCTCTCATCACTCTTGCTCGGTTTGGGCGTCGTTTGTGTGCTAGTATTTTGTAAAATCAGCACTTTCTTACTACTTGATTTTTTTACTTTCTTTCTCGGTGATTTACTTTTGATTTTATGTTTGCCACTACTCACGGTTTTCTCTGAAGTATCGGTCAAACTACTATCAAAGTCACTCTCAACGGGTCGTTTCCTCTTAACCTTATCCTTACATTTCAAGTCTTCTTCACTAAATGAGTTCAAATCGTTTATAAGTTCATTCACACTACTGTCTGCAGGAAGCTTTTGAATTTCTCTAACCAACTCTTCTTTCTGCAACTTCAAGTTCTTCAACAAGTCTTTGAGCTTCTCTTGCCTCAACTTTGGATGTTGATTGGTATAAGCGTGTATTATTTCTTGTACTTCCTCAGCTGTAAACATTTTGGGTTCCTTAAAATCAACGTCCCATTCTCCAACATTGATAGAATTGGTTGGCTCAACATTCTCTCGTTTTGTATCAGATTGTTGGTTTTTTCTTGGCAAAGTGATGACAGCAGGCTTTAAATTGGGAAAGAGTTTGTTATAGGCATTCTCCATTTTCTGTTGTTTCTGTCTCTCTTTTTCTTTCAATCTTCCCTCTGACATGTGATATTCCGGTTTATCTTTACCAATCTCGCAAGTCCTTTCCTGTTTTTGAAGCAAAGGTAGTTTTCTCAACATTTCTTCATAGTCTTTTTGGATTCTTTGTTTTTCTAAAGCTCTCAGACCGCGTAGATGAGCGTTAACCTCAGACTGTTTGGTTTTCTGCGACAAATCCGTTTCTGAGACTTCAGGCGGAACTATCTCGATATCATCAGCCGATACTTTTGTTACAAAGGAACCAGGTGGGACAATTTTTTCTCGAGAAAATCTATTCCTATGCTCATAAACACTGACGTTGCTTTGACTATTGATAGTTGCTTTAGAGCTACTTATGGATTTTTCTTTTATGTTCCTCAGTTTGACAGTAGGTTTTTTCGGTATTTCGTCGACAGTCTGTACGTCTTTTGACACCATTTTTGGTTTCACACCGTTATCAGTCTGGAGTTGGCTTTTGGAACTCTGAGGATACAATCTATTACTACCAAAGTCGGGTATTTGAGTTTGTTCATTGCTGTCAAACAATTTTTGGTTGACAAGAGGCACCTGTCTTTCTTTAGAACCGAGTTTTTTACAGTTTGAGCAAAGTCTATCAACCTTGGATTTACAGCAAATGCAAGTCATTTTTTCTAAACATTCACATGCAGAAATAACTTTACATTTTCTACACTCCACACAAATGTCTGAGTACCTGATCTCAAGAGGAGTTTGATCTGGGGTTCTCGAAAGTTGACGTTGTTTAATTCTGTCAGAGATTCTAGTATCAACTGGAAGGTCATAGATTCTTTGAGTTCCATACATGGAGTATCCATGTTGTGTACTTGTTGATGGAATCACTGTTTCTTTTTTCTCCAAACCTGTATATGCAAGATTACATTGCATTAATAAAAAAAAACAAATTGTATATCATGTTTTTTGGATTCTTTATGTCATTTGGATCCATTAGTCTCTCTATCCACTGTTACCATCTTTCGAATTTTAATGGAACTTTGACACAAAGTTACTACTAAGTCAAGAACGAAAAAGCATTTCAGGTTTTGAAAATCATACTGGTACCATCAGAATTATGAATGCAAAAAGTATTCAAATTAAAATTTGTAGGTTTGCACGAAAGCATGAAAACAATTTCTTATAAAAATGATAACAAAAATGAACAAAAGGCTGATAACTTTAAGAAGCAATTTTAATCATTTATATAAAAGAGACTGCAAGTTAGAGAATTTTGTGAGAATTTGTGGAATCAAGATTGGGCTGACACCTTAAAGATAATCAATGTTCACACAAGATTTCATATTTTTATTACCAATTGTATGATCTCTAGTACCCTCCTCCCTGCAACAGGCTGATTTCAATGGAGATCTGGGTCCAGAATCTCCACTAGGTCCAGAATCTTCTGACATTTTTGATGGGCTGGAAACACGTAGGTCGTCTTGAGCATCTGCTAAGCTAGGTGATGGTTTATCTGTTGCTTCACTGCTTTCAGAGGTTGAGTCAGGTATGGTGATGCTTATATCTGCTGAAGACTTGTGTTTTTTCTTTTTTGCGCTTGGTTCTCCCAACCTGCATAAAAAAAGACTTTACTTTTAATGAGATTAAGGACAATTAACATCAACAATCTAAGAAAAGCTATCTCAAAATTGAAACCTAATAAAAATCCAAGTGAGAATCTTTCAAAAGATATTCTAAATGATTGTTTCAATATAATTGGAGAGAAATTAATATTGGTGAATCATTGTTTAGTACATGGTGAATTCCCATCAAAATTAAAGTATTCCTCCATTACTCCTGTGCCAAAAGTTCAAAATTCTCAGCTAAATACAAATATGCGGCCGATTAATGTCTTGCGCGATGTCGAGAAGCTGTTCGAAGGGATAATATACGAACAAATCATAGAATTAATTGAAGAATCCAAAATTTTTATAAAAAATCAAGCTGGGTTTAGAGAACAATGTTCCACAGAAACGGCATTTCAAATGGCGGTGGAAGACTGGAGAAGAAGTATAGATGAGAAAGAATATGTTATAACAATATTTTTAGATTTCAAAAGGGCATTTTAAAATTGTCAATGAAATTGCGTCACTATGACTTGGTATTACACATTTTATAAAATTATTTAGTAAAGTCAAAAGACTAACTAAAGTTGGAAATATTATGTCAAGTGTTCAAAATATATCAGTAGGGGTGCCACAGGGGCGTAAATTAGGGCCGTTACTATTTATCATTTATATAAATGATATCTCTGACATTTTCGAACACTGCAAAATTCAAATGTTTGTGGATGATACGCTTATATATATAGCACATAAGCATTTGGACACTGCTTTAGAACTGTTAAATAGTTATATTGAAAAAATTATGAATTGGTTTATGTCAATAAACTTAAATTAAACACTAATAAAACAAAATGTATGTCAATAGGGAAACATTTAAGTGACAATACAATTAGGCTCATGATTAATGATGAAAAAATTGAAGTAGTCGAGTCATTTAAATATCTTGGTATATATGTGGATAGTAAGCTACTGTTTCACGAACATTATGAATAGATTATTTCAAAAATATTGAGAAAGATGAATTACTTCTATAGAGTTTCCCATAATCTTAGTATGTATTCCAAAAAAATTGTGTATAACACTAAATTCTTCAACATTTTTTATCTTGTTCAACCATCTTGTGCACAGCAAATGAAAAATTTTCAAAACTACAAATTCTACAAAATAAAGCTATGAGAATCATTTTGAATAAAAACAAATATGCTAGGTTGAAGTCTATGTTAGAAGAACTGCAGTGGTTGGATGTGAAAAATTTCATATATGATTTAGTTCTCGTTTTCATATTCAAATTAAAAAATCATTTATTACCAACACATTTAGAGATCTTCACAAAATTAAATAGTCATTATCATAACTACGAAACTAGAGGCAGTATAGATTTTCATCTGCAAAATTGTAATTGTAGTATAACTAGTAAATCTATAGTTCAAAAGGGAGTATTTGAATTTAATAAATTGAATAATGATATTTAACAGAGTTCGAATTTAAAAATGTTTAAGGTGAAATTAAAGAATCACTTTATGACTAATCAAAATGCATAGTGATGTAATTTTAATTTATATAGACAAGAATGTAAAATTACAGAAAATGGATTGAAGAAAAATATGTAACCAAATTATTATATAAAATTGACATTGTAGCATCAAGCCTAAATAAATCTTCAACAACAAAAAAAAGACAATATTTTCTACATCTAATGAGTTATTTTGGTTCAAATCAGTTAATTTTATTTTAAAAGCTATTTTATATTTTCTATTGCATGCAAACACAATGATTATATTTGGTATTAATTTTTTTATATATGGGAGAATATACAGTATTTGGTATGCCAATGTTTCACCAGGAAAATCTTAATATATAATTTAGAAAATTAGCAAATAATGTAAATGTTTACTACCCTAGTGTGCTCCATTCCTGAATTTCACTACAAAATATCATCAAATCTCTGTATATGTAACTGATATAACAATATACACAGTAGGTATAAGATATTTTCATTAAAAGAGACACAAACAAATTGTATACATCCCTAGCTTCTACTTTATAATAAAAATTATTATAAACAATTGAAGATATGGCTGCAACCCACTATAAAAAAAATCTTGCTTACAAACACATCCATCACCGTCAGGGTCTGTGAAGTCTCATTAAATGTGATTATCTCATCTAAAAAACAATGGAACTGAAGATGTCATTTTAAATAAACGACTATTGAATTTATTTAGCTAAATGGTATTTATGTTATGCTTAACATAGTTTTTTCATAGTTGAAATGTCACCCCCCTGGTCACACATTTTCCCTTGGTACAGGCTGACAAAAGAAAAATATTATCTGATAGTTTAAAATATGTATGGCATATCATATAGTCTTCTGACCTTCATAAATACCTTATATTCACCCATATAATTTTTGTAACTACCTGGACTTGTTATTCTTGAGACTGGTGACCAGGGCAGATCTGGCATTTTCAATTTCTCTGGTGATCTTCTTTCTCTCAATATGGGCTGTTTTCATTCTGGATTCTTCATCTTTTTCACATTGTAGCTTAGTAGCAGCAACCTCAGCTCTTGCTTTGTAAACTTTTTTGTTTCGTTCATCCTGTTCTATTCGCACTTCAGCTTCTTCCTAGGTTTGGATAGATAATGATATTTTAAATTTAATCGTGACACTCACAAAATATAGGACATTATACAAGTGAAAAATGTCGCAGAAAACTTGCATTAATGCTCAGTACAGGTAAAAGTATGTTTTGCATCTGTTGAGAAAGCTTTCTTACTTGCTCTTTTTCTGCCTCCTTGAATCCAGTACCCAACTCTTTTAAGGCTTCCTGAAACTGCGTTTGTAACTCTAGCAACTTCCTATTCTGCCAATTCTTCAGTTTATGCTTTCCTTCTTCCTCAATTTGTCTCATTTGCTTCTCCTTCTCTAGTTTAACCTTATTTCTCACATCTTCAGCTATATCTTTGGACTGTTGTCTAACTTGCTCCAGTCGCATTATTCTTCTTCGTTCGAACTCTTTTTGGTTGTAATTTGGGTCTGCTGTTACCATTTTTCCTCTTTTTATGCTTACTGGATTTCCTGTGACTGTTACGTTTATGGACATTTTAATTTGTAAAGACTTATCAGGTTTTACGGTATCGTCAGCTCCATTTTAATAATTAATGTTCTTACAGTATGTTCTTACTATGCGTCAAAATAGAATCGGATAAAATTTGTGATAAAAGATGCAAAACAAATTCGAATTTCAACGGAAAATGTAAATCAAACGGTGTCACAGATGACGTTTGTTGATAACTGACATTTGTGGTACCTGTCAATGACCGCCCCGGACTTTCAATGTTCGATGCATACTCGAAGTACTGGATATGGTTGAGCCGCGTTGCCAGATCAGAATTTTTGAATATGCTTCCATTTTCAAAATGCACAAAAGTGAACGTAAGGTATGAGTAGCTCATTCCTTGTCTTGCATCAAATTGACAGAAACGTATCAACATTATCAGCTTAAATACTTATGCGTTAAGGCAATAAGTTGATAGGAAAAGTCTAACTGGAGTTGAAAACGGAGGCGAAAACGCACGACTGCGGGTATTTCATTAAAAATGCATTTGCTGTCAAGCGACAAATTACCAGTCCGTCTATATTAGGCAGCATTCAACAAGTGATTCAAATATGCGAAGGGCCTACATTCACGCTACATTATATACAGGAGCCTGATGATATGAGCTCAATACATGTACAGTATATTCAGATAAGAGATAGACCGGACATAAACAAGACCACGTGATCATCGAACGCTGTAACATTCGGCAGGGACGTATTAAGAGTCACGCAGTACATATTTTAGATAGTAGATGCTACTTTGCGTAACTTTGTAGTAAATTAGCACAATTCGATGTGTATACGATTGGTGATGGATATAGGATCATGTGGGGGTGGGGTAAGAAATATATAATGATGTAAATATACATAAGGGCTTCAAAATTTTCGCTTCGATTTCCAGCTTCGGATGCCGCCTGATGTTTGGTGAAATACAGTCGAATATAATCTCAAAATGGCGTTTAAATTAGCCTAAATTAAAAATAATCGTATATCTCTTAAAATTGCTTTTAGAATATTGATTAGTATATTTTTTGATTTCTAGGTAAATATGTAACCAAATTAAAACGTTCAAAACGTAAAAAAATGTGCATGGTTGAACATTGTCAGAAAGTAGATTCTTGAATAGGTTTTGCCAAAATGGGTTCAAAAATGTCAATAATTAATTAAAAAATACAGTAGCTTTATAATTACTTATAACTTACCGCATTTGATGAACGACATCTTTTATTGGAAAGATGAGCTTGATGAGCTTTCATCATCGCTACTGCCTGAAGCACCAACGTCAATAATGAATGGCTTGACTTGTTCCTCTAACATATTGTCCAGGTCCCACATTCTCTTTTCAACTTCGTCTTTCACGTGCTTAATACAGTTTTCCCATTTTTGCGCTGTTATTAATTATAGTGCTTCTTTGAAAAGTCCTTTGAGGTCACAAAATTTAAAAGTTGTATTGTGCTTAGCTATATAATTTTTAACCTCTGCCCATATGAGCTCAATGGGATTGAGCTCGCAATGGTATGGAGGTAAACGGAGCACAGTTTTATTTTGACTTGCTGCCATTTCGTCAATGGCGTATTTTTGATATTCCGCCTTGTGATCCTTGACAATTCTTAATAATTGTACTTTCAGCATTGCTTCTTCAAAGTTGATATTTTTCGAGCGGAGCCAATTTTGAACATCAACTTTCCTTGAAGCCGTTGTTGGGACCTTCTCCATTCTTCGAGAATGATAAGGCGCATTATCCAACACAATTACTACGTTTTCCTGTAAGTTCGGTAAAATTTTTGAAAACCACTGTTCAAACGATTCGCCATTCATTTCCTCGTGGTAATCTCCAGTTTTCTTAGACTCAAAGCACCACAGACCGTCAACAACAAATCCATCCTCACTGCCAATATGGCAGATAATGAGCCTTTTCCCTTTACCTGGAAATCGAAGTACTAACTGGTGTAGATTTATCTCAATAAGCGAACCTTTTTCAAATGTTTTCATCACATTCAGCGAAAAAACATTGAGACATGAGTATCAGATTGCTATAATTGGGATTATTTAGTCATATTGAAAGAAAGAATATTGAACGTCGTATGATTACTCAGCGCTTCACAATTTAATTTAAAGTTATAAACCTTTAAAAAATGAATGATCAGGAACCTGAAATACGCGCAAATATTAATATTAACAAATTATAACTTTATAAAGCTTAAAGTATGAATTAAAATGATTAGAAATATCAGGAACGGTACACAATATAAAACTTAGTAACTTTTTTTAAGTTTATAATATTCGACATATTTTAAGATTATATTAAAAAATTATTGAAATATCGAAAACACATAAAAACATGGCTTAAAAAAGTTCTAACAAATGAAAATGACAATAAAACATCCACGCATTTTATCGAAAGTTATAAAAGTTTTGTCACTTGTAATATGTTTTATCTGCCCCCTGGAATTAATGTTTAGAACCTTGTTCCCAAGGTTTGAAAAACATCCGACTGTTGTCTATTACTCGTATTTACCTGCTGGATTTTTTAATCCGGTGGACAGTCTATCTAGAAAGGCCCTCCTGGATGAAGTTACAGAATCATCAACCCATACTTTACTTGTAGTGTGTCCTGCGTTTACCCACGTTTCATCAAGGTAATAATTCTTCCTGTTTTGATTTCTATATTTCCCAATTTTTGTTAAATAATCCCTCCTCCATAGCACAATTTCTTCTCTATCCAGTAGTAAACTATTACGACCCCGTTTTTTCCATTTGAAATTTAAATGCTTCAGTAACGCATGGAAAGTTGATCGTCCTGCAGTACTTTATCTATAGTAGGTATTTCATTCCTAAAGAAGAATTCATGCACTTTCCTCCTAATCGCATGCTTATCAGCTTCATCCAATGATTTAACAATACTTTTGCGATGTTTACTGGTCATTAGCTCAGAAGAGGTGTGATTTTTTTTGTATTGTCTTAACACATTAAACACTGATGCGCGACACACCCCAACTTTGTGAGAAACCTTCACAACAATTTCTTTGGTGGTTGATGCCTCGTTCTCCTCGCGCTCGATCTTATATATATTCAAAATGACCTCTTTCATTTCTGCACTCAGGTGTCTTTTTTTAGAGCGTTTCCTAGTGGACTACAGGAGTTTACAACTTCATCGGCAGTATCTGTACTACTGGGCATTTTGCGCAAGCAGTTGATAACAATAACAATCAATAACAAGGTATAACAATAACAACGACAAACTCAACAACTTAATAAGATAACAAACGAAAACGTCCAAAGAAATATCAAATTGCAATGATGCACACGACATACGTAACACGTCTGAACCTGAATGTGACTCTGCCTTGATACGACTGCTCTGCCGCTCGGCATAGGCATTTAATTGCGAATTCACCAATGAGGGCTCCTGTTTTACGTCGAGACGGCGGCGTTAGCGTGAAAATCACCCGAACCTTTTGTTTACATCCGGTCTATCTCTTATCTGAATATACTGTAGTTTAAAAACTAATAGCTATTAATACGATGGCGGCGCTACCCTGGGATGAGAAGAAGGAAATACGTTAATCAAAGGAAAACCACAGATTTGATGAAAACACATAGCCTGCTTTTCACAAGTTCAACGGGCTTTGAAATCTGCTGTCATTGAAAGATGATCAGCAACTGATATCTTTGCCTGTACATAACCTTAGACGCGACCTCCAACTTAGATGGAGCTATATACTTCCCTCTTTTCCAAATAAGCCCCATTAGGTACAATTAATAAGAATATGTTCTAAAAATCAGGTTGCACCATGACAGCAACAATGTTGTAATTGAAGTAAGAGATGCGAGGCAATGAGGTATAATAGTGCGACATCTTCGGTAAGAACGAAACCTGTAATTCAAATCTGAGAATCATCCATGTTGAATTAGTATTTTTTACTTATAAAATGTTGAGTTGGCAATGTTGCGTGCATAGACTTCGAGTAAACATCGAGTATTAGAAATTCCGATTAAAGCATAACTGGTTGCCTACATTGTACATTCAACAAGATTTTAAAAATCTATGCCCATCGCATTCACCATAATTTGAAGTTGTGTATTCCAAGCACTGAATAGCACATTCACCAAAACTCTTAGAATAATTCTAAATATCATAATATGAAAATTCTCTTTTAGTGTAAGAGGCGCCTCATCCCTGCTCCCCGACGGTTTTGCATGGAAGTCGCGTGCTAAAAATTCCAGGTATCTCGAGCGCATGCCCTGGGGAGTTACACCACGCGGTTCTAAATGAAAGTCAATACTTCTCAACCTTCAACTTAGAAGCAATATTAAACCAATAATTTTCTTCATTACAATGTCCGTTACCTAGCGTCTAGTGCATACAAAATTATGTTTAAAATACCTCATCTAGCCTTATAACACACAAAATAAATGAATATATGAATAAAGATCAAGGACAATAAATACATTGAATATTTGTGATATTTATTGTACAGTTCAAAAAATTATAGCAAATATAAATAACTGAACATAGGACCAAGGTATACGATATTTTCAGGTGAGTAAGTTACTTTCACTTTCATTTCTATATTTATAGAGGAGGACCTACTTTTAGGGCCAACTGGGTAGACTCACGATGAAAGGCCACAATTTGAGTTTTTCAGAAAAATCAGACTGTTCTTTGAGTGAAGAATGGCAACAAAGGGCTGCGGAAGAACTTAATGAAACACCTGAAGTTGTTGAAAGAGAGCTTCGTGCTCTGAAGGAATTGGTTAAACGTATGCTTTTGCACTACCCTACTATATAAGCATAAGACGTGGTGACATTTAATCTCCGTAATTTTCTGATTATTCAGCAGTCGTTTGGAATCACATACGCTTACATTTTTCGCCGAAAAAGAATGTTTAAAGCATAGCAATCACAGCAAATCCATTTTAACGTAGTACCTACTTTGCAGAATATTTTGCTGTCAGTATCCTAAAGGCTAAATGAAGCACACTAAATACGTGACCGTAACCGATGAAAAATATACACAAAAATCATGAGAATTAAATGTTATCGGCTCTGGATGTGCTTGGGCAGATTCATAAGGTCGGGACATCTTAAAATGATAAAATGGCTTAAACTGAGCTGTATAAGATTGTTGTGCTCTCGACAAAGTCTTTTCCAGGTTTATTGTGAACAATAATAGTAACTTTTGTTTAAAGCGGACGTTCTCAAACTGCATTCATCTACCGCCAACTTTCAGAATCAAATGTTTTCTAGTGTCTCCCTAAATCGTTCAGGAAGATGGGGGATATGCGATTGAAAACTGAAGAGCAAGCGACGGTGCACTTGATATACAAAATATTTCTCTTATTCTAAATCTTAAGGGCAAATATGCTGGGTAAATATGTGTGAAATATGCCTAATAGCCGCGTCGAATTCCTGGGGCTAGAAGTTTATAAATATACTGCCGCCTTCAATTTTTTATCGAAAAAAAAAGATCAGGAATCTGAATCTGACGGAGTTTGAAAGGTTTTTGTCTGTTTTTTGTCTTTTTCTCTTCCGTTACTGGACTGATGTTCGAAAACTGCAAAGCCGTTTCGTCCTTAACACAATACGAGCCCCTTCCCACTTCAGTTGGCCCAACTATTGAAATCTTAGTTTTTTTCTTATCAAACACAAATAATAAAAATGTGGCAGGGTGTTATAGGTTTAAAATATTAACAATGAATATTTTGATAATCTATATTAGAAAACAGCAACTTTATCACTCGCTAATCAAATTTGCAGCATAAAAATAACACATGTTGCAATTAAATAAAAGCCATGACAATTGTTTTTATTAATCACAGCTGTCAGAATACGTTTAAAATAGTTTTAGGTAGTTAAGGTTTTCAAAATGGGTAGAGGAAAGGTTATTAGTGAGAAAATTCAGTTACTGATATTTAATTTTTTTAATTCTGGGAAATCAAACTCAGAAATTGCAACTTCGTTAGACTTATCGCGGTACAGTGTGAGAAATATTGTTAGAAGATATAACGTAACCGGTTCAGTTAATATTAAGCCACGATATGTGAAAAAAAGTAATATCACAAATGCCGACCGAAGAGCATTAAGAAGAATAAACGTAATAAACAGGCGTGCCAATTACACTGATCAACAGCCAAAAAATATCCTAAATAAAATCAACAAAATATTACTATTTTTAATGTGCTAAAACCGGAATGAAACTTATCTTTCAATATTAGTTCAAGTTTTAGAGATACGGTAATAATATGTGTTCCTGCTGTGACAGTGTTAATATACTGTAATTCACAAGAATGCACGTGCTACATTTTTATATTCGGCAAGGAAAGATGATGAATCGGCATGATTGTGTTACGTTATACATACGTGTACATTATATTGTTTTATATTAGCCATTTTTTCCTCAGTTGGCTGACAGCGTTCATGCAAGATGTCTCGAAAGTGTGTAAACAATCCAGATCAGTTTTGTTACGTGTGTGGTGATGTGACTTTTGCGTCTCAGAGACGGTCTATTACTCCACTAATAACAAAGGCATATCAGATTTATTTCGGTTGTAAACTAGGTGATCAAGACAAACAGTGGGCACCCCACATCTGCTGTAATACATGTGCTTCAAGTCTGAGGAGCTGGTTAAATGGCAAAAAACGGTCTATGCGCTTTGCTGTCCCAATGGTTTGGAGAGAGCCTACAAATCATATTAATGATTGTTACTTTTGCATGGTGCCTTGTGATGGACAAGCCACAGGTATGTCCAAGAAAAAAAATCGGTTATTAACTACCCAAACATACCATCTGCGATGAGACCTGTGCCTCACAGTGACGAAAATCCTATTCCAAAACCCCCAGAATCCTACACTTGCGAATCAGAAAACGAATCAGATCATGGCGATCGAGTGATTCGTCAGGAAGAAGATATGCCATCAACGTCAAGAGATCCTGATTTTATACCGAGCACGTCATGCCACCAACCGCACAAAATAACACAGTCAGAATTAAATGATCTTGTAAGAGATTTAGAACTTCCAAAATGTAAGGCAGAGTTACTTGGATCAAGACTGCAGCAGTGGAACTTGTTAGAAGACGATGTTTCGGTATGTGTTTTTCGTAAACGCCAAAAAGACTTAGAACCATTTTTCAATATGGGGAATAACTTGGTTTTCTGCAGTAACATTAACGGCTTACTGGCGGCTTTAAATATAAACTATAACACAGAAGAATGGAGATTGTTTATAGACAGTTCAACATTGAGTTTAAAGGCAGTGTTATTGCATATTGGAAATATTTTACCATCTCTTCCTGTAGGGTATGCAGTTCACATGAAAGAATCATATGACAATATGAAGTACCTATTGACATGCATAAAATACGATGAGCACCAATGGCATATTTGTGGCGATTTGAAAGTTGTTGCACTTTTACTTGGGCTGCAGCTAGGCTACACAAAGTTTTGCTGTTTTTTGTGTGAATGGGACAGTCGGGCAAAGGCACTTCATTACACCAGACAAAACTGGCCTGTTCGTCAATTCCTAGAGCCAGGTCAAAAAATGTACAGCATATGCCATTAGTAGATTCGAAAAAAATTTTATTACCACCACTGCATATCAAGTTGGGCCTAATGAAAAACTTTGTCAAGGCATTAGATAGAGATGGGTCAGCTTTTCAATACCTGCGTCAGAAATTTCCAAGACTAAGTGAGGCAAAGGTTAAAGAAGGTATTTTTGTTGGGCCACAGATTCGAAATATTTTGAAAGATACACAGTTTGAAAACACTATAACAGGTATTGAAAAAACTGCTTGGAATGATTTCCGTCTGGTGGTCACTAATTTCTTGGGAAATAGAAAAGCTGACAACTATAAAACCCTTGTCAAAAATATGCTGTCATCGTATCAAAAGATGGGCTGTAATATGTCTCTTAAGATACATTTCCTACACTCACACCTGGACTTTTTTCCTGACAATTGCGGAACCGTAAGTGATGAGCACGGCGAACGTTTTCATCAGGATATTTCAACAATGGAAAAAAGGTACCAGGGAAAGTGGAATCCTTCCATGCTTGCAGACTACTGTTGGACTCTTGGTAGAGATGCTCCAGAAACGATCCATAAAAGAACAGCAAAAAGACAGCGCATATAGTGATTCTTATAAGTATATGAATCTTGTTACTTTTTTTAATATATCCTTAAAAATAAAAAGTTTTTTTCTAAACCGCAACTAATTTTTTTATTTCATTGTCATTTTTGGATTCAGCGCCCCAAAATTAACAAAGAAGTGCACTTTTCCCACAAGATACAATTAAAAAACTAAAATTTGTTGTCCAGTGTTATTTACAATTAAGTGCCCTGTGGAGTGACGCTGTTAGAAGGATTTCGAGGTCCACAACTCATAGAGAGGCCCACAAACTGGGATTTAGCACTTGCAAGGTAAGTTTTCATATAAAAAAACCGAAGTAAAAACCCTAAAGTTGCACAACTTGTTTATAGGCCAAAGAAAAGCCACTATTCTCCACTCTCAACTGCAAAAGAAAAATCGGATTAGATGGGCTAAAGAACATAGACAATGGACACCTCAACAATGGTGTACAATACGATGGAGTGATGAGGCCCGATTCGAAGTTTCTATTGGTGACAGTTGCAGTAGAGTTATTCGCAAAAAATGAAGCATTCCATGTTGACTGCCTGAAGAGAAAAGTGAAATTTCCAGCATCCATTATGGTCTGGGGCAGTATGTCATCAAAATGTCATCATTTTATTGATTGAAATGTGGATACAAACAAATATTTGGCAATTTTAGAAGAATCGCTTTTACCAGTGATGGAAGAATGTTTGACATCCTGCCAAAATTTTGTGTTTCAGCAAGATGGTGCAGCGTGCCATACCTCAAAAAAAGCTATAAAATGGATGGAAGAAAATAATGTACCACTTTTGAAATGGGTTTCTAGCAGTCCATATCTGTCACCTATTGAAACTTTGTGGCACGAGATGAAAAAGGTTCTACGACAATAACCTGCTCGTAAAATCACAGAACCGAGACAAAAGCTTCAAGAAATATGGGATTGTTTTACACCAAATTTTTGCCAAAACTTGGTTAAAAATAAATTGTTTTAGAAGTAAATAGTTTCATCATGTTTAGTTTATAAAGGTATATTTTGGTAGAAATCTTGAAGTGGGCCAACTGAAGTGGGAAGGGGCTCGTAGTCAGTAACTTTTAATGTAAATTTCATCAAAATCCGAGTAATACTTTCCGAGTTATAGACGCCAAGCGGATAGACAGACGGGTGAAAACCACGCGAATGACTGAAAGAAATAAAGATTTCAAATCTGCTCGTTAATTAATATAAATTTTATTTTTTCAAGAATATGAAGTTTTCTTTTTGAAACAGACCCAAAAATCGCCCTCTTAAATACTGACATTCAATTAGGAAACACCCTGTATAACATAGGATTACATACCGGCATTTTTTCGCTGTTCCAATGGGTATCAGATCTGCTATACGTGCCTTTGGTCCGCCAGTGTATAAATCCGCATCTTCAACTTTATCCAATATTCAATTCCGTAAAATCTAAAATCCGAATGACGGCAAATCCCGCTTATTTCTCATTATAAAGTTTGTTCGAGCGCGAACGAGTTGGGATGCGACTTTGAATTTGATTCTCGCCTCGTTTTTTATTCAAAAACTTGAGCTGCGCTATTTATGGGCGTCGTAACTGCGATTTTCAGAGGGGAGACACACAGTTGAACAACTCCTACAATTCCCTAACCCTAATTTGTAGGAGAAAGTGCTCAAAACTGGATCCCATCTTGTTGATTAAATAGACATAAAAAAATGAAAAACGGTGTTTTAAATGCAAACGATTACTTTGCAACGTTAAGTGTCATTTATTTCGATCATAAATTTAGGTTGCAAAGAATTATTGAAAAGAGTAATTTTCAAAAACGTTTACATTCCATTAATTTGAAAATAGGTGCCAAAACCGGGCTTCTAGTAAAGATGGACAATCATTATAATTAGGATCTTATTAAGACTCACAGTGAAGATGTGGCAGCTGTTCAAATTCAAAATATTGCAAACACATGAAATTTAGTACACAGGAATATAATCAATATTTTCAAAGACATTACAAAACTTCAAAACAAACGATACACATCCCAGATGTATAAAACAGTGATACACCATTTATTTTTATGTGATAGGAAATAAAACACTATCTAATCGTCGTATACATTACTTCTAATATGTTCAAATATTGTTATTATTCATAATAAGTTCTGAAAATTAGTATTTTTGCTCCGTACATTGTTTTTGAACTTTTCTCTAAAGTTGATAGTGCTCATAAGTAGTTTAATGTTTGAAAAAGTGCAAAATGTGCCATCTTTTACCCCGAGAAACGGAAATTATTTTGATTTTGTCAACGTTCCTCAATGTTCTTCAAACATCCATTGATAAACATCTGAAGCATTTTAGGAGATACCGTTTTTTAATTGAATCAAGCACGCGTTCAATGTATATGGCGCGTGCGCGCATTTGATTAACAATTGAAAAACAAAGATACTTCATAAAATACCTTTGGATTTTGTTAATGGGTGTTTAACTAAGAACTTTCTCAATATTAAAATGCTCGTTTTTTATATTTTTTTCGTAGTCAAAAATAGCATATTATGCACCTTTGCAAATATAAGGTCGCTAATATCTCAAAAACTATTAACTTTAGAGCTGAATTCATGAGAATCCGTTTTGTTCAGAATGAATCAAAAAACCTAAAAAAAATCAATTCGGACCGAAAAAGATAAATTTTTGAAATGAGTATGGAAATTTGTTCTAATAATCTTTACGCAATTGGGCTGACAATATGCGCATTCGTTAAAAGAGATCGTCTTTTAATAAGATTATGGAAAAAAAAACAGAATCAGAATATTTCTCCGATCAGATGCAAATATACTTAATACAATATACAGGGTGGCGCATCGAAAACGAAACACGCATTTACTGGCAGTTCAGTTTTTTTTGGAAAAACGCTTAGACCCATCGATTTTGTTTTCGAGGGGGACCCAAGTTTGGCAAAAAATCACGTTAACACGTGCAGCCCTCTGGGCGGGGGAGAAACCAACCCTAAAATCTTAAATGGAAAGGGGGGTCGAGTGATACCTCATTTTGAAGATATTCCAATTCCCTTTATAATGATGTAAAGTACATGAGCTTCAGTTCAGTAGTTTTGAAGATTTATTGATTTAAAGCTTAAAGTAGAATTTAATAGGTACATCAGATTAGTTTGTACTACTTTCAGAAGAGATTTGACTAAAAGAATTTACCTAATAAGTAAATGCTTTTCTTCACTACGCCCATGGTTTGTTTCTCATTTTGTTGTTGAAAATAGCTATTGGAGCGTTTTTTTTTGTGGCAAAAAAGTTATTTCTTGAAGAAAGATAAGGAAATATCTCGTACTTATACTAAGTGACATATAAATCCGAACACCCAGTTTAAATGGTTTTATTTTAATAAAAGTTGGTGAATGTATTTATCTTACTGTAAATAACAAGTGAAAAAATTTTCAGCCTTATCAGTTGGACATTTCGGTTTTTATACTGCTTTTTTGTAATTCACTAACGCTCTAATAATGAATATTTCAGCCGCAGTAAAGAATCAACGTTGGCGGATTTTGGTTCTTGACATCCTTTACGATCGGTTACGATGCCTAGAGTACGGAGACCAGTACGATTTCGTCAACTTAGTGAGTTTGATAGGGGCCGTATAGTGGGACTTCGGGAAGCTGGACTTTCTTTTCGGGCAATTGCAGTTAGAGTGCAAAGAAGTGTAGACACTGTGGTTAGGTGTTGTCAGGCTTGGCGTCGAAGAGGCCGTACGCAAAGAGCAAGGGGCACTGGACGTCGCCGTAGAACAACAGACCGTGAAGATCGCCGCCTAAGATTATTGGCCTTAAGGGACCGTTTCTCCACTACCAGGTCCATTGCAAATGAATGGTTTGCAGAACACGGAAGACCTATTGGCATGCGAAGTGTTTACCGACGAATGAGAAGTTTTGGCTTGTTTTCATACCGGCCACACTAGGTCTTCCCTTTAACTCGAGAACACCGACGTAATCGCCTTGAGTGGTGCAGACAACGGTCACTCTGGGATCAGGAATGGAACAGTATTGTCTTTAGTGACGAGTCTCGATTTTGTTTAGGCATGCACGATGGTCGTGTCAGGGTTAGAAGGCGACGTGGTGAAAGGAGGAATCCACAGTTTTTTGTTGAAAGACATGTTCATCACACTGTTGGAGTTATGGTTTGGGGTGCTATAGCTTATGGTTCCAGGTCACCTTTAATCTTCATCAGAGGTAACATGAACGCGCAGCGTTATATCCACGAAGTTCTAGAACCCCATCTTTTACCCTATCTTGACACCCTGGCAGATCCAACTTTCCAACAAGATAATGCCCGACCACATGTTGCAAGAGTCACAATAGACTTCTTCCAACATAATGATGTCACATTGTTACCATGGCCACCAAGATCTCCCGACTTATCCCCAATTGAGCACGTGTGGGATATGATGGGTAGGAGATTGCTCAATTTGCAACGTCCTCCTCAGACTCTAGAAGCACTTCGAGACGAGTTGGTGGTTGCCTGGAATGAGATACCACAGGAGGACATTGACCGCCTGATCAGAAGCATGCCTAGGCGCGTTGGAGAATGCGTAGCACATCAGGGTGCATCCACACATTGTTAAAAGTCAAAGGGCTTTAAAGCAGAGCAATCATTTTGAAATTTTTATCATTTACTTATTATGCTTCATTAAGTACTTATACAAAATTTTATTAAAATAAAACCATTTAAACTGGGTGTTCGGATTTATATGTCACTTAGTATATTAGTTTTATTTAAGCTTTAAATCAATAAATCTTCAAAACTACTGAACTGAAGTTCAGTTTTATTTAAACTTTAAATCAATAAATCTTCAAAACTACTGAACTGAAGTACATTAATTTTATATCATTATAAAGGGAATTGAAAGACCTTTAAAACAAGGTATCACTCGACCCCCCTTTTCATTTAAGATTTTGGGGGTGGTGTCACCCCCGCTTAGGGGGCTGAACCTGCCAACGTGATTTTTTGCCAAACTTGTCTCCCCCTCGAAAACTAAGTCGACGGGTCTGAGCGTTCTTCCAAAAAAAAAAAACTGAGCTGCCAGTAAATGCGTCTGTTTCGTTTTCGATGCGGCACCCTGTATAATAATCAGCAATATTCCTGGTATTCTATCTAATTAACAAAAAATTAACTTTTTTGCGCAACGAGCCCACCAAAAGTCTGTGAAAAATGCATGCACAGGCTTTCAGGTAGCCTAAAATCTCAATCGACGCCCATGGCAGAACTGCCTCTAGCTGGCGCTACTCCAACAGACTTATTTGCATCTCATTATAATTTCAGATGATACCAATTTGAGCGTCCCGGAAGGAGATGACTTTCTAATAAGGTTCCTGCGGGCGAGGAAGTTCGACAGCAAAAAATCCTTTCACATGGTAAGAACTGTGGTTTTTGTTTTGTGATCCGATAAGTTTATATATTGTACGGTGAAAGAAAAAACGATCAACGTCTTTGTTGGAGCAGGTGCTGGGACTTGACAGTTGGCCGGGAAATCCGGGAATGTCCCGGAATTTTGCGCCTAGTCCTGTGTCCAGTAATAAGACTTCACTGTCCCGGATTCCGAACACTAGTTTTTTGACAAAATTACTAGAGTACTACACGTAACGACATTTTTCGTTTTTAGTCCGAAAAGAGTACCGTAAAATCATACAACTATAGTCCTATTATATAACTATGATCCAAAATGACCTGTCCTTTTTTGTCTTTAAAAGTTCGAAAGTGCTGCCGCCAAGTGAATTTAATGTGTATCATTATTGCCTATGGGTATAAGTCTGATAGTTACCGCGCTTCTAACTAGATGGCAACACCGCTCGGTAAGGCAATCCGGCCGACAAATTGAACAAGTCGGTGCGTGTTTTATGGGATGACGAAACTTTTATTTGAAAACATTACTTGCAGTTTGTGCCGAGTTTCGCGGTTTGTTTTTGTTTGAAGGTAAGCTAATAGGTGTTGTTATAAAAATTAATCGAAAAATAATAATTTTTCGTACTTTGGTTTCAACAATAGTCCTATGATTTTTTTGGACCATATTTAGAAGTTCATTTTTATTACAGGTGTGGATGGATGACTCACTGAAAATGTCCAGAAGAAAGCTAGGAGGCAGGCCATACAAGTATTATAGCGACAGACAGATGGAACTGTGCCTATCGGATATAGAAAACAGAGTATTAACTCAAAGGGAGGCGTCAGAAAAATATAAAATACCAAGATCTTCAATAATTCTGAAAATAAAAGCAATACGCAACAATAGTGTTCGCCCACCTGGTCGGCAATGTGTATTCACCACGAAAGAAGAATCCTCATTCGTCGATCACGCCATCCAAATGTGTCACTTTGGGTTCCCAATCACTTTATTTGACCTACGATGCATAGTGAAAACATATTTGGACAAGCAAGGAAGGAATGTGCCACAATTTTCAAATAATTTTCCAGGTCGTACATGGGCTCAACTTTTTTTAAAGAGACACAAATCAGAGCTTTCGCATAGGTTCTGCAGCAATATTAAACGTGTCCGAGCTGTAGTAAATGAAGAAGCTATCAAGAACTATTTCAATCATTTGAAAATGGAAATTGAGAATATCCCACCTCACTTGATTTATAATTACGATGAGACTAATTTAGTTGATGACCCAGGAAAGAAAAAAGTTCTAACGAACCGTGGCACAAAATATCCAGAGGCTATTAAAAACTCAACGAAAGCCGCCTTTAGTCTGATGATGTGTGGAAATGCCGCAGGTCAACTGTTACCGCCATATGTTAATTACAAAGCTGAACATTTGTGGGACACTTGGACCGAAGGAGGACCTTCCAATACTCGATACAATCGATCTAAATCGGGTTGGTTTGACGCTAATAATTTTGAAGATTGGTTTTTCACCACAGTGTTACCGGCACTGAGAAGAGAAGAAGGAAAGAAAGTAATAATTGGAGACAATTTAAGCTCACATCTCAGCTACAAGGTAGTCAAAGCATGCGAAGACCACAACATAGCGTTCGTCGCATTGCCGCCTAACAGTACACACCTTACACAACCGCTGGACGTGGCATACTTCCGACTTCTCAAAGTCCATTGGCGGAAAATACTGGATGAATGGAAATCTACGCGAGAAGGTCAAGTTTTGCCTACCATTCCAAAACAGACATTCCCTTCACTGCTTAATCAGTTATGGGAAAAAAATGCACCAAAAACTGAAGACAACCTAAAAGCTGGCTTTTTAAAAACAGGGATTTTCCCAACTAATGAACAGCCAGTGCTTGAGAGACTTCCTACGTTCAAACACCCTGAGCCAACTTTAGATCCAGAGGCCGTCGGAGAGTCATTCATACAATTTCTTGAAAATAAGCGGCAAGCTGTAGTGTGTCAAGGAAAAGGAGGTCGCAAGAGAAAATTGAATGCAGATCCCGGAAAAAGCGTATCTTCTGAAGAACTCAAAAGAGTCCTGTCCGAACCTTCAACCTCCACAAGAAACAAAAATGGAAGAAAGAAAAAAAAAACAGAAGAAGAAAACAGATTCGGAAACTGAAACAGATTCAGAAGAAGACCAGGCAGTGGAAACTATTGACGATTCAGATTCCGATGGCCCGCTAAATGAGGAAGCCGACGATTGGGAAGATGAAAATATACAACAGCAGCATGATAGTTCTCCTCACAATGCATCGCTGCAATATGTTCCGGAAGATTATGTTGTCGTGGCGTATGAGGGGGAACTATGGCCTGGCCAGATAGAATCTATCGAAGAAGAAGGAGCCTATGTAAAATGTATGGCCCGTTCTGGACTGTTGTGGAAATGGCCAGAAAAAGAGGACAAAATATTTTACCCTCTCGGTGATATTAAATATAAAACTGAGGAGCCCAAAAAAATGAGCACCAAAAGGTCTTTATTCCGAGTTCCGGAGCTAGAAAGTAGGTGGGGAAATCCCAAAAAATAATTGTTTTTGTTTAATTTCTTTATCTTTTATTGCTTTTCTCAAATAATTTCTATGAATAGTTTGAAATGTTCCTATGAAAGATACGTTTTCTTTGTTCATTTGTTGATGTTTTAAGATGAGTAGGCTGTTTTGTTAAATTGATCTCAATTTGTACCTTATAAATAAAAAAATAAGATTATTGAATGTAATTTGTAGTTTCTTTTTGCAGATATCACTTTCAATATATCTATTTTTGCATGAGACCCTTCCAACTGTAGTCCAAATTCGTATACGCGACGTTTTCTTGGTGAAATTCGATCTGGACTATAGTTAAAAACATCATATGCAACTATGGTCCAATATGTAACAAAAAAATTAAAAAATAGGTTGGTATTTTTAAGCAATAATAACTACTACATATAGTCAGTAATTCAATAAGGTACAGTCTACATCAAATTCCTTCCCGCTGTTGGTAATAGACTTTTATATATAAGCTTACAAAGTAAATTGAATGTAGTTTTGGACCATATTTAGATGATTTTACGGTATTATTTTTATAAGAAAAAGAATAGTTGTTTATTTTTGTTTCGAGATAACCCGTATTGTACCAAAGTTTACCTTATTAATTAATTATCATTTTTAGACTGGAAATAATATTACTTTTATAAGACAAGGTATACAGATTATAACAAAAATTTGGAACACATCAAATATTTGACGAACGACTCATCTAATTTAAATTTATTTTTTTTAAAAACTGGTACGTTTAGGTTTGAAATTACGGCGGATCCGTTGATGATATCCGCGATGTTGCCAAATCTACGGTTTTTCAGAAACTGATAGCATCTTTCGTTTATCTCATTTTATCCGATATTTGTATTTTGGCATTAATTCTGAATACTTCTTATCTAAGATACTTTGACGTAAACATCATAGTTTTCGAAATAACAATAATAGGTATTTTTTCACCTAAGCATTTATTTTCGATACCGGGCATTCGTTAGGTAAAAAAAAAATACCTGTTAAGCGGCGATCTTTTGTTTTTACCAACCCTCTCGAATCTGGTCTGGGGCGTTTCGACATCGGCGCGGTTTTTCCGGTTTCTTTCCGGGTTCTCGAAAATTTTTAACAGAAAGCGATACCGTTTCGGAAACCAGAAACTCGGCGCTTTACGGGCAAGTGAGAACCACCGAGGTAAGAGGAAGAAATACGTCAAAAACGGGGGTCAAAGTCGAAAAAATCGTAGTTTTTCGGGCCGCTCGATATTCAATTTCTATCTAATCCAAAGATAAAGGAGCTACAAACCTAACGATTTTTGCGTGAGAAAGCGCAGACATTGAACATCTAGATAGCGTCTTTCTTTATTTCTTTATTCCTTTTCGTTCAAAAGTTTCGATTTTTTAAAATTCCTCGACTATATGCTACTTTTCGATATATTCGTATGACAAAGTCTCCATGTTTCCGGCTTTGTCCTGGCCTATTACTACTATACAGGGTGTTTCAGTTTATTGTTGCATAACTTTAAGATTCGATAGAACTTTTAAAATTAATGCATAAAGTCTATATAAACATGGATCGAAAAATGCGTGGCTTCCGAAATACAGGGTGTTTAAATTTACTTTCTAAAATAGTTTTTTTTTTAAATATTTCGAACACTATTTGATGTATAACAGTGAAAATTGGTATACAAGGGTTTTTTGGTATGATAAAACGAACCATGGGCATAGTTTTACTGTAGCCGCTAGAGGGCGCTCTCTACTGTACCTGTAGTGTATTAAAATGACTGAAAATTTTTTCTTAGTGCAACTTTTTGCTTTTTGAATAAAAAAACTGATTCTTCGCACTTTTCAACATAAAAAAGCTTTCTTATGTTGAAAAGTGCGAAGAATCAGTTTTTTTATTCAAAAAGCAAAAAATTGCTCTAAGAAAAATTTGTCGGTCATTCTAATACACTACAGGTACAGTAGAGAGCGCCCTCTAGCGGCTACAGTAACACTATGCCCATGGTTTGTTTTGTCGTACCAAAAAACCCTTGTATACCAATTTTCACTGTTATACATCAAATATTTAAAAAAAACTATTTTAGAAAGTAAATTTAAACACCCTGTATTTCGGCAGCCACGCATTTTTCGACCCATGTTTATATAGGCTTTATGCATTAATTTTAAAAGTTCTATCGAATCTTAAAGTTATGCAACAATAAACTGAAACACCCTGTATATATGCAAGATAAAAATTATATAGCGATTGAAAAATAAATATTTTGAGCGTAGGAAACGAGCCTGACTGTTAGAATTCTCGTCAGATTTCGAAAAAGTAGACTTTTAGGGCCTCAAAGGTACTGATGACAAGTCACTTTTCAGCGTACTTTGTCGTCTTCGATACAGAACTTCGTTACGAATCGAGATAGCTACGATTTTTTTCCCAAAACGTAAGTCTCCTGATTAACCCGATATACAACATGTTAACCGATCGCATTTTTTAAACTCGGCAGATTACAAAATTCCAAGTTATGCAGTTATATTTTGAGTCTGACTGCTGCTACCTTCTCTAATCTGGTTTTTGAAAAGATTTGCGATCCCTGTTAGGCGGGGTATTGTAGGTATGATAATATTGCAAAAACAAGCGCGTGCTAGCGGAACGTCCAAAACGTGCCATTTTCGGCTTTATGACGATCGCTTCATCCAATTTGAATATCAATGTTTGACCGCGAATATTTCGAAAACTATCTACGTCAAAGTATGTTCTATTAGAAGTATTCAGAATTTCTTGCATAATACAGGGTGTAAACATTAAGATAGTCATTATTTAAATGGGTGATAGAGGGGGTTATAAGAAGTAAAAAATGTCTTATAATATGGGGGTCAAAACGGCATTTTTTTAGAGAAAAGCGACTTTAAAGTAAAATAAAATCTGATAACACCGCAATGCCAGACGCTAATTACGACAGAACGCAGTGTACATAAAGATGGAGTTTGTTATTTTTGGCTCTTAGGTATTATTTCATTATTTGATAATGTACTCGTAAAATGAAAACAGTTAAAAAAACGGACTTGCCTCTAGCTGTCTCAGCGCTTCACCTGGTGTGTGAAAGTTTATTGAACGTATTAAAAAAATCCACTTATAAATAGGGAACACAATTTTGATACATACATTGTTTTTCTTTTTAAAACCCACACTGCACTTTTTTTGTATTTAAAGAAGGTGTTCAAAATGTCGTCCTCCACTTTCCACACAAGCTTCATTACAACGAACAAAGTTTGTTCTTACTCTAGGTCCTCGGAGTTGTCCATTTATTCTTTCAGCCGCATTAAAATTTTTTTCGCGAAGTTGTGCTTCAGTTGTTATTGGACCAGCCCCATAAACCATCCCTTTAAGTTCCCCCAATACCAGAAATCCATCGGACTGAGGTCAGGAGGCCTTGCTGGCCATTTTCGAGGATCAGGAGCATTTCGACCGATCCAGGATTTGGATAGTGTTCATTCAAATACTGAATGACGCCTCTAAAAGTGTGTGGTGGTGCCCCGTCATGAAGAAACCACAAATTCTGTCTCCGTTGCAATGGCATGTTGTCTAAGGTCTGTTCCAAAAGTTCTGGTAGGTTATTGGCTAGAAAGCTAAGGTATCCTTCTCCTGACAACTTTGGCGGTAACTCGAAAGGGCCAATTACCTGATCGTCAAGAACACCCGCCCAAATATTTATTTTAAAACGTTGTTGGAAATGACCTTCACGAATGGTATGGTGATTTTCTTGGGCCCACGTGTGAGTATTATGGATATTTAATATCCCGTCTCGCGTAAAAGTACCTACATTCGTCCGTCGCTAGAATGCTTTTAATAAAATCGAGATTTTCAATGTATTTGTGCAAAAACCACTGACAGAATGTTAGTCTGCGAGGATAGTCTTCTGGTAACAAGGCCTGCACTGGTTGTACATGGTAGGGCTAAAGCAAATTTTCCCGTAGGATTCTATGGACTAAATTTGTTCCTACTGCTCTACATATAAATAAACACGACGACGTACGCGAACAAAAACGAAACAACACGCCCGATGCTCTGCGCGAGAAAATGATAAAGTAATTTATCTATGCAAAACGATAACTAACCACTGTTACCGTTTGCGATCGATTGCCGGTTCGATAAGAATGATGAAAGACCGACGCGCTGTTGTCATGTGTGTTTTAAATATTTAACTCTTTGACTTGTTTTGACCCCTACTATTACCCATTTAAATAATGACTACCATTACACCCTGTATTATTAAAATCTTGTATACATTTTCGTCACCGTCACAATTTTACCTTACCTGCTGAGCTTTATTTATATTTTTCAGATTCAAAGGTACTTCCTGATGAAACTGAAATGCCCTGAATTGTTTGATTGCCCTTTGCCTTCCGAGTGTTTAGATATTTTCGAACTACAAGCACAAAACATGCTTCCACGAAGAGATAAGTTTGGAAGAAGGGTTTATATTATTAAAATAGGTATGTCGCAAATATTTATCCCATAGGTACACGAAGCGAGGAGTCATTAGTGATAAGTGAAATAATACAAATACGAAACGTTTGAATTTGAAGAAAAAACGTAACCTTCGTTTTTCGCATAAAAATAATAATCAAATTCAAGCGGATAACCAAATGGAAATGGTATTTACCATTTTGGGTTGGTATTTACCAATCCGTTCAAGCGAGTGTAGTTATCAGTTTGGTTATAAGATCCGTGACGTCACGAATCAGCTGTTATATGTCATAGTTATCACCGCAAAATTGTGGTATTTACCCAACTCAAGAGTAGTTTTATATTTCTGGTTATTATTTGAAATGTGACAAGTTAGACATTTGCCGGGTATTGGATATTGTTATTGTACTTCAGCTTCATTTTTGAGAAAAATGATACAGGCTGACTTCAGTTTTACCATTAAGTGGAGCACCTTATTAGTTATACTCATTACGGTTGTTGGGGACACTTTAAATGTAGTTCCTATGCTTAACAAAGTATCATTTGTAGCCATATACTACAAGGATATTAAAATATGGCCATATAAACTCACTAGATGATATCCACCTGTATACGGTTTTGCTAATTTCTTTTTTCATCATTTCTGCTGAATCAATAAATGTTTTCTTTGACATGCGGAAAAATTTAGAGAATTGAAAGTTATCGTAGCTACAAAGCCATGGTTCCATCATTAAAAAAAAATCTGAAAAAACATTTCTCCCATGAATATTAAGAAAGGTTTCTTATTTAAACTTTCCATATACAGTTGTAGACGAAAAAGCACCGATTATTAAGTGATAATAAAAATAATCAGAGATTATATACGCGCTTTTCTAAAATAAACAACTTGCAACAAAACCGCGGTTAAAACCAACGCGTTCAAGCGATTCGTGTAACTGACGTCATCAACCCGTGCGTCATCTTGAACCATATTATAACCGCGGCACATAACACAGAAATTTTGGTTATTCGCTTGGATTTGATTTTAAATATTTATCTTTCGGAATTGTTTGTGATTCATATCGGCAAGGTAAACACGTGTATCTTGCTATTAAATGATCTTTGAACGAATCCTGTATATTGCACAATATGCTAGTAGTGATGGCCGAAAAACAGGTGTTTTGGGATAAGCAATTAGAAATTCTCAAAAAACTACTTGGCCAATATACTTCAAGTTGTTGTTTGTCGTATTACCAAAAAGTGCCAAAACCTTCATTTTGCTTCGTTTTTCGACCATAACATTTTTGCTATTAGTCGAATCTTTTTACGTGTGGTCTCATTCTGCAGGCCTCATAAATACCTAAAAATCTTATATGAACAGTTTTTTCGTTCCTGTCACCACTTTAGATTGAACAACAAAAAAAAAACGTTTGTTGTCAAATAAAAAGTTTTCCCACAAAAATTGGTGTACCCCTTTTCTGCGTCCATGTTTTAAATACCCCCTTGGACAACTTTCACCAATAAAACGAGACTACAATTATTTCGGGTAAATTTGCTATTATGATTAGACTATTCATTTTAGAGCCAATATGGTGCAGAAAACCAATTAGCATTCCGCATAACATTAAGCCAGCATTTTGGTATTCAGGCAACAACAATAGAGAGCTTTTGCGGCTGAACAATTCTTATACGAAAAACTTATATTACCACTTTGCTAGTTGGGTAGGGTTTAGATCTACTAGATCCTGATATCCAGTATTGATTGGATGTTATTATTATGAAATTTGAAGTGAAAAATACGTTAAAGAAATTGCAATGGTATAGACATTGAGAACAACATTGCAATTGTTCTTTTGTATTGATTTATGATTATGTTGATTTATCTTTTTTTGATTGGTTCTTGTCTAATGAGCTTATCATAAATCTGGAAAAGTCATTATTTATGAATTTCGTGACCAGAGAAAGCAATCGTGCTGTCTTGTTTGCTCAAAATTAATGGAAAGTCTATAAGGTCTATCGAACAGATTAGTGACACGAACTACCTTGGAGTTCTTAGCAATGATCATTTGAATTGGAAAATTCATATAAATACTTTCTGTGATTTTGTCTTTTTACTATGCACTTGTTTTTTTTTAGCATAAAATAAGGTATTTTTGGGGTTCCTCTCATCTTGCAGAGCTTTATATTGAAAAAAAGGAAATATCATATCCATTCCTATGAGGGAATAATGGAAACAGTGGTTCATAGACCTGCATGTTTTAACTTTGCCATCCATCTAGATGATTATGGAACAAGAGATACTCATCATTTTGTTGATCCTAAACATAATTTAGCTTATATGAACAAAGTGCCAACTATATGGTCATAAAATTGTACAGGGTGGCGCATCGAAAACGAAACAGACGCATTTACTGGCAGCTCAGTTCTTTTTTTGAAAAACGCTTAGACCCGTCGATTTTGTTTTCGAGGGGACACAAGTTTGGCAAAAAATCACGTTAACACATGCAGCCCCCTGGGCGGGGGTGACACCATCCCTAAAATCTTAAATGGAAAGGGGGATCGACTGATACCTTATTTTAAAGGTCTTTCAATTCCCTTTATAATGATATACAATTAATGTACTTCAGTTCAGTAGTTAGGAAGATTTATTGATTTAAAGCTTAAAGTAGAATTTAATAGGTACATCAGTTTAGTTTGTACTACTTTCAGCAGAAATTTGACCAAAAGAATTTACTTAATAAGTAAATGCTTTTCTTCACTACGCCCATGGTTTGTTTATCATTTTGTTGTTGAAAATAGCTATTGGAGCGTTTTTTTGTGGCTAAAAAGTTATTTCTTGAAGAAAGATAAGCAAATATCTCGTACTTATTTTAAATCGGAATTTAGTACATAGTATGCGATTGATTTGTCAAACTTCGTTGCTAAAATAACTTGTAACGCTTTATTATATAAATTAACCATGGTATATTCCACAGCAGAAAGAGGTGATATTATCGAAATATTTTTCGGAAATGATCAGTGCGCTAATAGAACAGCAGAAATATTTAATGAGCGACATGAGACAGTAACGTGCATCAAAATATGTTCCAGAACTTGTAGCTAAATTTCGGGAAACTGGGTCAGTCGCCAATAAAAAACGCAACATTGAAAATCCCATAAGGAACGAAGCAATAGAAGTGGGGGTTTTAGGGCAAGTTTATGTAGATCCTACGTTAAGTACCCGCAAATTGGAGACTGTGTGCGGTGTTAGTCCACGTACTGTCCAACGGATTGTAAAGGCCCATACTTTTCATCCGTACAAAGTTCACCTGGTATAAAAACTTAATAAAGACGATTTTGATCGGCGATTACTATTTTGTGCAGATATGAGTGAACGAATTATAAACGATGAACATTTTCTATTAAACACTTGCTTTTCCGACTAATGTTCCTTTTTCTTAAATGGCGTAGTAAATCGTCATTACTGCCGATATTGGTCCGATTCTAATCCCAGAATTTATCATGAGGTTCATACACAGCAGCCACAAAAATTAAATGTTTGGGCTGGTAATTTTGGCGATCATTTAGTTGGTCCTTTTTTCTTACCTGGAAATTTGACCGGTGAAATGTATATGGAATTACTGGAAGACGCCATAGATCCTGCATTAACAGCCATAATTGAAAATCAGAATGATCGGCGGTACATTGCGAATAGGTTGATGTTCCAACAGATGGTGCCCCACCACATTACGCATTACGTGTTCGACAATATTTAAATCAGACGTTTCCAGATCGATGGATTGGTAGAAGAGGTGCCATTGAATGGCCCCCAAAATCGCCAGATTTATCACCTTTGGATTTCTTTATGTCGGGTCATTTAAAAAGCAAAATCTATGCTACTCAGCCAACATCATTAGAAGACCTGCGACAAAGGATTGTGAATGAGTGCCTTCAAATTACTCCTCAAATACTGCAAAATGTGCGGCAAAGTTTTGAGCAAAATCTTTATTATTGCATGGAGAGTCATGGTGGCCATTTTCAACTTTTACTTGCCTAACGGGTCAGTTCATTCTTCATTTTTAAATTACTTTGCTGCCAAATGTATTGATCTCCACTAATGATGAACTGAAGCTCATGTATTCTACATCATTATAAAGGGAATTGAAATACCTTTAAAATAACGTATCACTCGACCCCCCTTGCCATTTAAGTTTTTAGGGTTGGTGTCACCCCCGCCCAACTTGTGTCCCCCTCGAAAACAAAATCGACGGGTCTGAGCGTTTTTACCAAAAAAAAACTGAGCTGCCAGTAAATGAGTCTGTTTCGTTTTCGATGCGCCACCCTGTATAATAAATCAAACAAAATCACTGGAGATACTGGCAAGTTCATAAACAAAGCTGTGCATTTTTTTGTAACAATGTGTTTGTTTTTTATAACGTTCTTAATAAAGAGTTGTTTGACGTATTGTTGTGATGATTTAAATATTTGTATGTTGTTGACCTTTCCCATGCTCCATCTAGTTCTCTTAGAACAATACCTATTTATTTATTGTGCTTCTTGCATTTTCAGATAACTTCGACGCAGCGAAAACAACAATAGATGAGGTTTTCCGGCTAAACATTTTGGCCATGGAGCAAATAGTTCGCGAGCCAGAGACGCAGGTATCTGGAGTGTCGATTCTCCTGGACATGGCAGGTCTCAGCTTACAGCACAGCAAGTTTTTCACGCCTTATTACGCACGTAGAACAGTTGAGCTGGTGCAGGAGACTTTCCCGCTTAGATTCAAGAGTTTTCATGTGGTCAACGAGCCTTTCTACTTTGACGCGATTATTGCGATACTCAAGCCGTTCCTCAAGGAAAAGATCAGGAAACGAGTGAGTAATGCATAAATACAGGGTGTTCCGGAAGTTGCGACTGTCCTTTTCTGGACTACGTACGAGTTGTCGAAATACTGCCATCCACTATTAATACCGACCGTATACTGATAATGACAAGTAGAGACTGACCTTAAAATTGTTTCAGAATTATTGTTGAGTCGAGTTGAGTTATTGAATAGTTATTGGTGAATTGGTGTTGGGTGCAATACCGTGCACGAATGACAAAATTTCTAACCGAAAAATATTGTGATATAATAAGCTTTTATCTTGTTTAAAAGTATACCAAATTTAATTCCAATAATCTTATTAATGATAAAGTTTTGCTATTGGATTTTACGGCCATCATTTTTATCAGTAAAACTTCAATCAGCAAACAGAACAAAACAATGCTGGGAAAATGACAAAAGAAACTACTTTCCGTACTCTTTAATCTGCAAAAACTGCTATAAAAAGTAAGGTTGTTCGCACAAAAAAGAAGAAAACGTGCCACGATTTTAAGCATCCTGAAATAGTGGCAGGAAGTAACTTTATTAATTCCAAGTTTTTTTTTCTTTGCTGTGTCTGTTCAGATGTCAAATACGGCTAGGGATTATTATACTATAACTATCTAAAACTGTAATGACTCATCGATGTTCACGTGAACATCACTTAACTACCAGTATTCGGCTGTTCATAGGCGGGGTATGAATGTTTAACATGGGTGAACTAGATTTGTCACATGCTTAATAAAGAGTGGTTTGAAACATATTGTAAGTCAAAAATTTGGGAATTACCTTTATTCATCGTCGCTTCTACTTACATCTGACAGTAATAAGCTGTCGCTATCGCTTTCCTCGTTGAAATTGACTATAACTGGCTCTATGATGGTGTCGATGTGGTGGTCAAGCTGCCACATTTTTGTTTCTTCCTTCACAACATGACGGATAGGATTCTGCCAAGCTTCGGGCGTTACTAGCTGTATGGAAGTCTCAAGTAAAACCTTAACGTCTGGTAATTTGAAGGTTGTGTTATGGCGCGCAATATAACCCTTCACTTGAGCCCAGATGAGCTCTATTGGGTTCAGTTCACAGTGGTAGGGCGGTAACCGCAGCACAGTGACACCACATTGACGGGCCATCTCATCAGTCACGTAACTAATGTTCGCAGGTTTGTGCTGTCTAATTTTTTCATACAATTCCGCTTTCACACATGAATCGTCAAACGGGATTCCTTTTTCGCGCAACCATTGCTGCATGTCACTTTTTCGAGATCCCATAGTCGGTACACGTTCGGCTCGATGACTATGGTAGGAAGCATCATCCATGACGATCACAGAGTTGGGCTCAACTCGCTGAAGCACCCCTTGAAACCAGCTCTCGAAGCAGCTGGCATTCATTTCGTCATGGTAATCACCTCCTTTCTTAGAGACGAAAATCAAGTCACACTCTTCTAAAAAGCCACTATCGCTACAAATATGAGTTACAATCAATCTTTGACCTTTCCCTGACGGTCCACGAAGACCTGTTGACAAACCTTCAATGCTTGCTTGTCGGTTACTCACTACGTTTTTGTCTATCCAGGTTTTTTTAACTGTGTGACCTGCATTTACCCATGTCTCGTCCAAATAATAGATTTGTCTGCTTTGTCGCCTATATTCAATCATTTCGCGTAGGTATTTTCGACGCCAGGCGACTATTTCAGGTCTCTCTATCAATACTGACTTCCGATTACGCGTTTCGTAACGAAAATTAATTTCGTGCAGGGATTTCCTCATTACCTCGACGCTCATTTGGGGTATAATTTCATTTTCCTTGATCGCTGCATGTACAGCTTTGAGGCTTGGTATCTCATTCCTAAAGAAGAATGAATGTACGGTTCGCCTTAACGCCATTTTGCTATCGTCATCCAATTTAACGGCCTTTCGTCCCTTCAAATTAAACTTTGGATCAGTAGTCGCTCCAGTTTTCTTCTTTTCATGCACCACCCTGCGAATGGTCCACTCTGGCACGCCTGTCACACTTTCACAACGCGCGAGTGCATCTCCCTGCGACATAGTTCTGTTCAGATAATTGAACACGTTGAGCACGATTTCTTTCGCGTCCCTCTTCAGTGCTTTACGAAGCCGTCTACTTGTTCCCTGGCTTTCAGTACTTCCACTCGTGCCATCTGTACTCTTCATGGTTAAGTATAACCAAAACAGTAACCACAGAAACCACAACAATAACAATCACACAACAATTCTTATAAAATCGCACAATATGCGATCGCTCAACGAAACACGTTCCAATGCGTTGCCGACGCCTATGAGTCTGCCGGTCGAGGCGCGTCTTTGATTGCATTGGTTCTACCTGCGGAGAACAACCAGCCGTTATTTCCATCTCTGTCTGTGCTGTTGACCACCGCAAAGCCACAGAAACGACATATGTCGTACGCTATACGGCTGTACTGGAAGGAAGCCGGGATCGAGCTCTGATCACGTGTTGATCACGCGTATGAGTCATTACAGTTTTAAATAGTTGTAGTATAGTGCGTGTCTTTATTGGACGTTCAATCACTGTATATTGTCGGATAAAACAGCAGAGAAAAGTAAGCAAAATGAAGAAAAGCACTTACTGTTGATTTGATAAGCTATTTCAGGCATCAAATACGAGGGATGTCTTTTAAGTTTTGCATATGGAAATAAAACAACACGGTAGGTATTTTTAAATGACTAGTAGATGGGGTTTGTATGTTCTGTGACGTCCTTGAGCGCCGACCTTCGGTGCCAAACGACCTTGAGAGTTGACCTTCGGTGCCAACTTTGAAATGTGACCTTGAAGCGTGACATTGAGTTTGCGAGTGACCTTGAAGCGTGACCTTGATTTTTCTAGTGACCTTGAAACGCGAACTTTAAATGTGACATTGAAATGTGACCCTGAAGCTGACCTTGAGTTTCCGATTGACCTTGAACATATATGACCTCGAGCACTCTCAACCTTGCGTGGGTGTGACCTTGTAGGAGTGAACGAAACAACCAAATTAATAAAAATGGACAGTGAGTGACAGTTGACACTTCAAGGTCACTCGGAAACTCAAAGTCACAATTCAAGGCCACACTCCAAGGTCACATTTCAAGGTCACACTTCAAGGTCACTAGAAAACTCAAGGTCACACTTCAAGGTTGGCATCGAAGGTCAACTCTCAAGGTCGTTTGGCGCCGAAGGTCGGCGCTCAAGTGCGTCCCAGAACATACAAACCCTATCCACTATGACTTTATTGATTTTCGAAGTATTCTCCACGAAGATTAATACACATCTGCATGCGCTCGAACCAATTTTCGAAGCACTTATTCCACTCGTTTGCTGGCAGATCCAAAACGGCATTTTTGAATACGTCAACTGTTTCTTCTAGCGACTGGAACCTTTGACCATGCAGTCTGTTTTTAATTTTCGGCAAAGTAAATAAATCGTTAGGACTTAGATCGGGACTATATGGAGGATGGTCCAATAATTCCACGTTTTCTTCCGTTAAATATTTCCCTGTTTTTTGGGCTGTGTGCGAGCTTGCATTGTTTTGGTGGAGGATGATTCTTCTTTTGGGGTTGATTTTTCGAAGCTCGATGATGACTTTTGGCAAACAAATGGTGGTATACCAAACCGCAGTAACAGTTCTTTGCTCATTAAGAGGAATTGTTGCAATATGACCCGCTTTTGACACAAATGTCGCGACCATCTTTTTCGAAACACTTCGAGGACGGATGACTTTTGTTGGCTTTTCTTCACCACAGGCAACTGTCGTTTATTTTCTGGTTCATAACAGTAAATCCACGATTCATCACCACTAACAATGCTGTACACATTTGTTGAGTGTCCGGAATTGAAGCGGTCAAGCGTTTTTTGACACCAATTAACCCTGACTGCTTTCTGCTCTTCAGTCAACAGGTGGGGTATCCAACGAGAAACTCATTTTCTTACTCCTAATTCTTCATGTAAAATTTTTTGAATTGAGGTCTTTGAGATCTTCAAGGACGCCTCAATCTCGCGATATGTCACATGTCTATCTTCAATGATGAGTTTGCGCACAGCATCGACGTTTTCCTGGATGACTGCCGTGTTTGGTGCACCCACCCTGGAATCGTGGCAAAGACTCACCCGTCCACGTTTGAATTCTCCATACTAACGGGAAATTGTCGACTGATGTGGCGCTTCGTTGCTGAAAACAGACCGTAACTCAGCAAGGCATTCTTGTTGCGATAATTGTCTCTGAAAGTTGTAATAAATTATGGCGCGAAAATGTTCTCGGTTGAGTTCCATTTTTCTAATGACTTGGAGACACTTAAAAATTCACTGTAGTGAGAACACTGTACGTATTGCTGTGAAACTTTGAATTTAAGCTTACTAAAGAGTGAGGTTAAGATTCAGAACTGGCGGCCTACTATGTTTCGATATGCAAAACTTAAAAGACATCCCTCGTATTGTTCGAAGTTGTGACTATTCTATTTGAAAACACAAAGGATAAGGGTGCATAACCGGAGTTTTCGGCCTTGAAGTTAACTAAAATTCCAATATTTTAGAATATGTGTATTTCAAACTTTCATCATTTTTTTGTCACCATCACGTCACAACAGTAAGGAGAGACGTAAAAATCTGTATACTCAGTAACTGTTATCTGGGAAATATTATGCGCATGGTTTTATCCGCAAACTCATTGTCGATTTTCATGGCAAGTACCAAAATCTCCACTGTCAGAGTGAAATCGGCAACAGCGCGGCCTGCCATCGCCCCACCCAACCTGTGACCATCAAGATATACAGATGTATTATTTTGCACTAGATGTTACTCGCGACTTCGTTTTCTTGAAACTGTTACTAAAATAAAAAGCGGTTGCTAAGACATTTTCAAAGGTCTAAGTCTGAAACACTCTTTTAAGTGTTAGACTTCATCTGAGATTTTTCAAATCAGATCGCTAGTTTCCAACTGTGCTACGTACTTACAATAATGTAACATGTTTATTTTTCAGATCGTAATGCACGGTACTGATATGACCTCCCTTCACGCTTTTATACCAAGTGACATCTTACCTGCTGAGTATGGGGGTACTGCAGGCAACTTTAACAACCGAGAATGGTACATGCAACTCCTTGTAGATGAGCAGTACTTCAGAGATTTAAAAAGCTATGGATATAAAAATGAGGATCTTACGAAAGAATAATATTTTTAACCTACAACCCATGATTGCCTGGAGCCAAAATTTAATTTTTTTTTAGCCTGACATGAGTAAAAACCCATACATGGTGTCTCATTTTAACCCTTCCACTTAAACATTTTGGAAACTGCGTATTTTAGAGAAAAGGTGACCTTGCCTACAAATTTCAAGGAAATTTCAAGGTCAAACGAATATTTTTTGAATTTTTCACATTCAAATTGAAAAGGGAAGCAAATTTTGTGTCCGAACATCATCTTGACCATGACCTTGGCCCTTCAAGGACATGCAAGGTCAAATCAATGCACAGTTGTGGGGTTTGTGAGATCACCCTAAGGTGACCTTGACTTTGTCATTGAAAAAAAAACGGAAATTTCACATCCAAATGTGACCTTTAGTTCGAAGTCAAGGTCGTGTCAAGCTTGAATGCTATTTGAGGTCAAGGTCACACTCAAACCTGAAATTTTGTCGTTTTTCCATTTCCAGTACAAAGACGAGAGGTTTCCTTTGGCAATTTTGAACGCCAAGGTCATGATCAAGGTCACCTTTGGGTGATCCCAACAAACCTCACAACAGTGCTATCGAACATTTTTGCTAGAGAAATTGTTTTGAAGGTCTTGATTTGACCTTGAAATACCTTGAAAGCAAAAGTCAAAATCATGGCTAAGGTGATTTTTGGACGTAAAATTCACTCAGTTTTTCAATTTCTATGTGAAAAGAAATTCCATTTGAAAATAATCACTTGAAATTGAAACGGCCTTGAAGGTCGTAACCAACGTCATTTTCAAGGTCACCATCATTTTGCCTCATCGTAACGCTACAACTTTTGTTTAAAAGTTTTTTTCTAGAATTTGCAGTTTTGACATAGGTGGGGAGGTTAAGATGGGACACCGTGTATAGCAAAAACAGGGAGCAAATTCGAATTCTAACCTTTATTGTTTCCCAATGCCTTTAAATAACTCTTTAAAAACCCAATTGTAACATTATTCATCGGAAGTGTATTAAAAATCAAAAATTTCCTTGAAAACAATAATAGATATACGCCAAAAAAACCTTTCAGCTTGAAAAATGACAGAAGCACTGGTCAAAAAGTTGAAAATAACCAATATGCTGGTTAGAATGAGTCCGTACATCCGTACAAGTCGTTAGAACGGTTCAACTTGACGTTATAAGGTTAGAAATGTATAATTCCCCTAGTCGTCGTAGTAATGACGTTTCAAATACGTCACTGATATCCACGCGGAACAAATATAGTATAAAACGACGTTACTTCTACGTACCTATACTAGTGTGCTTGTGTATACCAAAACAGTAAAATCGTCATTATTTTAACATATTGTAAGTTCTATATATTATGTTGTTACGTTTATTGTAATAAGTATTATTGTGCTTCAGAGTTTATAATGTACGATCCTATATTGTCAAGCTGGTTAATGTTTTATATGCTGTTGTTGAGAAATTAAATATACTCATTTAATAAACTTACGCATTTTACTCATCTCAAATAATTTCAAGCCCATTTCTATTGAAAATATTATGAATTTTCGAAACGATCAGTGGATTCGCTCATCAACAATAGTTATTTTAAACCGAAACAGGCAGAAGCCTACGAAATGGGGCACCGCGGCAGCCACAAGGAGCTTGAAGACACTTTGTTAATCACATGAATAAAAACCCATACACGGTGTCTCATTTTAACCTTCCGACCTAAACATTTTGGAAACTGCGTATTTTGGAGAAAAGTAATCAAAAGCTTTACAGCCTCGAGAGAGCAAAATAATGGTGATCTTCCCTACAAATTTCAAGGTAATTTTAAGGTGAAACGAATATTTTACGAATTTTTCACGTTCAAATTGAAACGAGGAGCAAATTTTGCGTTTGAACATCATCTTGACTATGACCTTGGCCCTACAAAGACATCCCAGGTCAAATAAAGCTAATTTAATAATTTGCTTGAGCAAAAGGGTTCGATAGCACAGTTTTGGGGTTTGTGGGATCACCCAAAGATGACCTTGACTTTGACCTTGAAAAAAAACAGGAAATTTCACATCTGAATGTTACCTTGAGTTCTAAGTCAAGGTTGTGTTAAGCTTGAATGCTTTTGAGGTCAAGGTTACACTCATACCTGAAATTTTCTCGTTTTTCCATTTCCTCTTCAAAGAAGAGGGGTTTCCTTTGGCAATTTTGGGTGATCCCAACAAACCTCACAACAGTGCTGTCGAACATTTTTCCTAGAGAAAATTGATTCGAATGTCTTGATTTGATCTTGAAATACCTTGAAAGAAAAAGTCAAGATCATGGCTAAGGTGATTTTTGGACGTAAAATTTGCTCAATTTTTCAATTCCTATGTGCCTTATCAGTTGGACATTCCGGTTTTTATACTGCTTTTTTTAATTCACTAACGCTCTAAAAATGAATATTTCAGCCGCAGTAAATAATCAACGTTGGCGGATTTTGGTTCTTGACATCCTTTACGATCGGTTACGATGCCTAGAGTACGGAGACCTGTACGATTTCGTCAACTTAGTGAGTTTGATACGGGCCGTATAGTGGGACTTCGGGAAGCTGGACTTTCTTTTCGGGCAATTGCAGTTAGAGTGCAAAGAAGTGTAGACACTGTGGTTAGGTGTTGTCAGGCATGGCTTCGAGAAGGCCGTACGCAAAGAGCAAGGGGCACTGGACGCCGCCGTAGAACAACAGACCATGAAGATCGCCGCCTAAGATTATTGGCCTTAAGGGACCGTTTCTCCACTACCAGGTTCATTGCAAATGAATGGTTTGCAGAACACGGAAGACCTATTGGCATGCGAAGTGTTTACCGACGAATGAGAAGTTTTGGCTTGTTTTCATACCGGCCACACTGGGTCTTCCCTTTAACTCGAGAACACCGACGTAATCGCCTTGAGTGGTGCAGACAACGGTCACTCTGGGATCAGGAATGGAACAGTATTGTCTTTAGTGACGAGTCTCGATTTTATTTAGGCATGCACGATGGTCGTGCCAGGGCTAGAAGGCGACGTGGTGAAAGGAGGAATCCACAGTTTTTTTGTTGAAAGACATGTTCATCACACTGTTGGAGTTATGGTTTGGGGTGCTATAGCTTATGGTTCCAGGTCACCTTTAATCTTCATCAGAGGTAACATGAACGCGCAGCGTTATATCCACGAAGTTCTAGAACCCCATCTTTTACCCTATCTTGACACCCTGGCAGATCCAACTTTCCAACAAGATAATGCCCGACCACATGTTGCAAGAGTCACAATAGAGTTCTTTCAACATAATGATGTCACATGGTTACCATGGACACCAAGATCTCCCGACTTATCCCCAATTGAGCACGTGTGGGATATGATGGGTAGGAGATTGCTCAATTTGCAACGTCCTCCTCAGACTCTAGAAGCACTTCGAGAGGAGTTGGTGGTTGCCTGGAATGAGATACCACAGGAGAACATTGACCACCTGATCAGAAGCATGCCTAGGCGCGTTGGAGAATGCGTAGCACATCAGGGTGCATCCACACATTATTAAAGGTCAAAGGGCTTTAAAGCAGTGCAATCATTTTGAAATTTTTATCATTTACTTATTATGCTTCATTAAGTACTTATACAAAATTTTATTAAATTAAAACCATTTAAACTGGGTGTTCGGATTTATATGTCACTTAGTATATAGGGTGACTTTGAAGTTGAGTCATTAATTTTCAGATAATGATTGTAGAAGGAAGATAAACCAAAATATGTGTGTAAAAATAAAAAAAAATTAAAAAAATGTTTACCTTCTTTCATAAAGTATCCTCCCGACAAGTATTTCAGTGCGGACCTGTATTTGATCGTGAGGTCCCCTGTGAGGTCTTAAGTCACCTGATTCACGAGCCCGTTGTACTACATTAACAAAGGCACGAGGGGTTGGTTGCACTCGATTGGGAAACCGATCCGCATAAACATGTGCCATTTTTTATTTCATTTGAGCCACGCAACAGACACTATTCACACGCGACTGACACTGACTGTATGTATAACTGAACTGAATAAAATAATTGTAAAAACATCGTTCCAAATTCTTTCGCTTTTTTGTTTCTGATGCGATGAACCGATAAGGCGGATTATATCCGTTGTTGCCAAACACGAGCACATGATATTATTGAGACAGGGCGGTACTCAAACTTCCAAAGGGCTATAACTTTGTTACTTTAATTTTACCAGAAAAATGGTAAAGGAAAAAAACATTTCTTTTGATCAGATCTACTCACTGTTAAAATAAATGACTCAACTTCGATGTCACCCTGTATATGCCAAAAATTATTAAAATCAGATAAAAATGCGTAGATGTAAACTTTCTTTTGCCACTCGGTATACACAGTATTTAATTCCTGCTCCCTGCCTTTTCATACCCATCTCACTTCAAGAGACTTCAATAGTAGTTAGGCAATTAAGAAAACTTAAGGTATATCTGGTGTGAAGAATTCTGCTAAAATATTTTCTAAATGAGGGCCGTTGCGGTTATACCGGGCCGTTGCGGTTTTACCGGAAGTGGATGCCATCTTGCTTATTTTAAACAATACTACATTACGAAATTTTTGAAATCTAGTATCGTCTGCAAAACATATGATTGTCCCTTCAGATTTTAAGCTCAGTAGGCTATTAATGTAAAGTGTAAATAATAAGGGGCCTAACACTGTCCCTTGTGGGACACCGTACGTTATCAATTTGTTTGTGCTTAAGCAATAATTTATTTGTACGCACCGTGATCTGTTGGAAAGGTAACTTTTCATGAGGTTATAAGCCTTGCTTTTGCTAGATCTAAAAACACACACACGGTATATTCACTTTGGTCCAGTAATTTGTATAATTTTGATGTCGAAAAAGAAATTGCGCCTTGGGTAGACTTGTTTTTCTATAAACTGAGAAATAACATATCCGTGTCAAACCAGGAACATGACGTTGTTAGGCACCATCAATTTCCATACGCTTCACATGCAATATTGTAGATGCTTCAATTCTCCGCCTCCTAAAAAGAAGAACAAAGGTAGCCATATATCTCTTTCGCTGCGGTGTTATTTCCTAAATATATCTGCCTTCTATGTGATTGATCTGATTCGCTGTAATACGTTTCTCTTGTTCCCCGATCCTTTTTCACTTTCTAGTAAACGAAAACATAAATTTCCACTAAAATAGAGCCCGTCCGGGTTTATTTTGATACAATAAGTCGCACGCTCGTACATTGTTGCCAGAATGAGAAAATACTTAATTCATACTTATACTCATGATGATAGTCCAATTTAATTGGCGAGCAAATTATTTTTAGAAATTTGTGTATCTTAGGCCCGTATCGTCAGTCGTCCCTACAATTGTAGGGCGCCTTTATGGCCTCCTTGATTGTCATAGTTTTTTATTTTTTATGTCAGTGCTCTATTTTGAGGTTATGTCACAAACATCTATTTGCATCAAATTGTGATTGCTTTTGAGTTATATCACGTTTTATCAGCCTGAAATTTCCTACAATTTAAAAGGAAAACATATCTTCACAATAGGAGAGCGCTGACGCTGACACGGGACAACTGTAATCTAGAAATTTTTCAAGGAGAGAAAGGAGTATGACAATCAAGGAGGCCATAAACGCGCCCTACAATTGTAGGGACGACTGACGATACGGGCCTTAGACGCGAAGGCGAAACGTGAGTTATGATTAAAAATGCAGCATGCTTGAACAGTAGCACACTGGTTTATCTATGCGAAAATCTGACAAAAACAAAGTATTGAAATGAACTAACATCATTACCTATTCTGAAGTTAATACCTTGTTGAAGTTGGCCATAGAATCAGAGCATTGCTTACAGTACCTTTACCGTGGCAGACTAATAAGCAAGTAATGGGTGATTCATTTATAGGTACTTTTTTCAGCAAGAAAATAAAATAACAAAATTCTTTTTTCTTGTCAACTCTTTTTTATTAAAAAAAAGAACTATTGTTGATATTTATTATTTAAAACTGAGGACAAATCTCACTCAGGTGCCGTTGGTGTGTTAGTAATTCAATTGGTGCAAGGGGCGGTGAAGAAATCTCACCTCATTCAAACTGAATTTTCCTAAAAATAACGTCAACAAAGTGAGTAAATTGATGAAAAGCTAACAATAAAATACAAATTATAGCCGTCAGGAGATTGATATTTGATTATAACAAATATTAATAGATGACGGGGCATGAAATATAAGAACCAAGATGTCCTGCGTGTTTGTTT